CCTTAATCAGGGAGTGAGGGAGGACCCCTTACAGGGCCGTGCTGAGGACTTTGCACAGTTTCTGCAAGATAAAATCACTCAGATTCGGACCGGGTTGGACTCCGACTGGACAGAGTCCGTTGAGGTGACAGGGCCTAGTCTCGGTGGAGACATCTGGGTTGAGTTTGAGCCTGTTTCATTGGATGACGTGGACAGGATTATGAGTAGGCTGGGGTCTTCCACATGTTTACTGGACCCTTGTCCCTCCTGGCTTGTTTCAGCAGCCAGGGAGGTGACTGGAGACTGGATCCAGGCTATTGTCAACGCTTCACTAAAGGAAGGGGTCTTTCCCGCTGCGCTTAAAGAGGCGGTGGTTCGACCCCTCCTTAAGAAGCCTAACCTGGATCCTGACGTACTTAACAACTACTGTCCAGTCTCCAACCTTCGCTTTTTAGCAAAGGTTGTTGAGTCCGTGGTGGCACAGCAATTCCCTCAATTCCTGGAGGAAACTGACTACCTGGATCCTTACCAATCTGGTTTCAGGCGTGGCCACAGCACGGAAACGGCATTGGTCGCCCTAGTAAATGATCTCTGGCGGGCCAGGGATGGGAGTTGCTCCTCCATCCTGGTCCTTCTTGACCTCTCAGCGGCGTTCGATACCATTGACCATGGTATCCTGCTGCAGCAGCTCAGGGGCATAGGGTTAGGAGGCACTGTTTTACAGTGGTTCTCCTCCTATCTCTCGGGCCGTCTGCAGTCTGTTTGGGCGGGGGGTCAGGGATCCTCCCAGAGGCCTCTCACTTGTGGGGTGCCTCAGGGCTCGGTTCTCTCTCCTCTGCTCTTTAATATCTATATGAAATCGCTGGGTGAGATCATCCGTGGTTTTGGGGTGAGGTATCATCAATATGCTGATGATACCCAGCTTTACATTTCCACCCCTGACCACCCTAGGGATGCCCTTTCCGTGATGTCCCACTGCCTGGAAGCGGTGCGGGTTTGGATGGGCTTAGACTCAACCCTTCCAAGACTGAGTGGCTGTGGATGCCGGCATCCCGGATCTGGAGGTTCCATCCTTAATGATCGGAGGTGAAACCCTTGCTCCCTCCGATAGGGTCCGCAACTTGGGTGTCCTCCTAGATTTTCGGCTGTCTTTAGATGACCATCTGACGGTCGTAACCAGGGGGGCCTTCGCACAGATCCGTCTTGTGCACCAGTTGCGCCCGTTCCTAGACCGGGATGCCCTCGCCACGGTCACTCACGCCCTTGTTACCTCTAGGTTGGACTACTGTAACACCCTCTACATGGGGCTGCCCTTGGGATGTGTCCGGAGGCTTCAGCTAGTCCAAAATGCAGCCGCGCGGGTAGTTACGGGGGCATCTAGATACTCCCTTGTAACACCTCTCCTGCGTGAGCTGCACTGGCTACCAGTGGCACTCCGGATAAGTTTCAAGGTGCTGGTGCTCACCTATAAAGCCCTTCATGGCTTAGGCCCGGGGTACTTGCAGGACCATCTCCAGCCGTTCTGCCATTGTCCTGTGCGCTCTGACAGAGTCGGCCTCCTCAGGGTGCTGTCGGCCAAACAATGTCGGCTGACGACCCCCAGGGGGAGGGCGTTCTCTGTGGGAGCCCCGACCCTCTGGAATGGATTGCCCACTGAGCTCAGGACAGCCCCCGACCTTCTTTCCTTCCGTCGCGAGCTGAAGAAGTGGCTCTTCCGCCAATTAAACTGATCTGTTTGGGGGTACACTGGTATAATTTTAAATTGTTTTTTAATTGGGTATTTTAATTTTGATTTTAATTTGGTATTGTATTGTGATTTGTATTGAAGTTGTCATTTTGTAAGCCGCCTTGAGTCCCTAGGGAGAAAGGCAGCATATAAATCGCAATAAATAAATAAATAAATAAATAAATAAATAAGCGCCCCCCCCCATAAAAATCTTGCTAGCAAGGAGGAAATCCATAGGGCTCCTCCAAAATTCATCTGAAATCAAGGATGGTCAGCAATATTTTTAGCATGCTAACCCTGGCTCTAGGGGCGGTGTGTCTCAATCTTGGTCATCAGAAGATGGACTTCAATTCCCAGGATTCCCTAGCCAGCAGGGTTCACAGCTGCATGTATGCATAAGTTTACATTAGTTCAAAGGAAGTCAATCAAAAGGTGCAGCATCCTTGAGGTCAGGTCCAAGCCAATCCGTCTCTGCCTTTTCTTTTGCAGGTAGAGTCCGCCCAAGCCCCAGAGCTGACCGAGCAGCTCTCTCACTTAGTGGCCACTGAAAAGGGGTCCCCGCAGGCCCCCAAAGGCCTAAGGCACCATTCCTGCACGGTGGTTGGGCCCTTTGCGGTCATCTTTGGGGGAGAGACCCTAGCGAGGGGCCGAGATGCCATCTGCAATGATCTTTACATCTACGACGCCAGTAAGAGTTCTTAAAAAAATATTTTCTCTTCCTCTAACCCAGGGGCCTCCAAACTTGGGTCACTTTAAGACTTGTAAACTTAAATGCAGGCAGGGGAATCCTGGGAGTTGAAATCCACAAGTCTTAAGGTGACAACTGTGCAACTGACAGAACACAAATAGATCCTTCTCAGTTTTCTGTCACACAACTTGTCCTGTCCACTCAACCCTTACCAGTCCCGGTCACAAGAAAATTGGGATTCCAAAGAGCCCACTTCAACTCAGGAAAATTGCAATTAGCAGCCTGGCCATCCAAGATTGGAACCTGCATTCGATTTATGATAAATGCACAATAGTTGACAAGTTCTTGATTTGCAATCGTGTCAGTGCGGGGGAACAATGCAACAGTTGCTAAGTGTGAAGGCCGGCTGGCCTAAGTCCCTTTTTTTCTGGGCTGTTGTAATTTTGAACAATTTGCTAAGAGAACGGTCGTTAAGTCAAGGATTTAGGCGTGTCTGTTTCGTTCTTGCAGGGGCGTCGCCAGCCAACTGGTTCCACTTTCCTTCTTCGACCCATGCACAGAAGAGATGCGGCCACCGAACATGCTTCTGGAACAACACGCTTTACCTGGTGGGTGGGTTTGGAGCCGATGGGAAGACCCCTTGCCCAGAGATCTGCAGCTTAAGGATCTCACCATGAAACAGAGGATCTTGCTCGCCAGCTGGGACCGCCAAATGCTTCTTCCATCACTCCTGAAGGAGTGTCTTTTGGCTGCCGAGAGTTGGCCTGCTATGATGCAGTAAATGCACCCGAGCATGTCAGAAATACGTCTCTTTGTGCATACAAATATCTGACTTAAACCGAAAATGCCAGCATGAAGTTACCTCCTTGAGATGTGTTCCCCGTTTATGAATAAAGTTTTGCCCAATTTAAAAATAAAAGTGGACTTCCCCCATTGTTGTAACCTTTCCAAAAAGTCTGGTTTTGATCTATCTTTTAAAGCAGGGGTCTCCAACCTTGGCAACTTTAAGCCTGGCAGACTTCAAGTCCACCAGGCTTAAAAGTTGCCAAGGTTGGAGACCCCCGTTGTAAAGCAAAATCTAAAAATAAAATAAAAATAGAATGAGGGTGGAGGTCCGTTCTCTGAGCTTTAGAGTTGGTTTCTGAACATTTGGTTAACCAGGCGAGGTAATGTCTTCAGTGGAGTTTAGGGGATGTCCATTACCTCGCCTGGTAACGAAACATTTTGGAAACCAACCTACAAGCTCAAGAGTGTCAACCAAGTGTACATCCAAGCTACAGATACCCGCCACTATTGCAAAAAGTGGAATCTTCAACTTATTTTTTAATGGTTCTGGTCCCATTAAAGGTTTGATCAAGATCAGCCACATATAGGTAGTCCTTGACTTACAACCATTCATTTAGTGACCATTCAGTTACAACGGCCCTGAAAAAAGTGACTTAAAGACAGTTTTTCACACTTGTAGCATTCCTGTAGTCACGGGATCAAAATTCGGATGCTTGGCAACCGACTCATGTTTATGACGGTCCCAGTGTCCTGTGATCCCATTTTGCAATCTTCTGACAAGCAAAGTCGGGGGGGGGGAGAAGCCAGATTCATTTCACAGCTGTGTTGCTAACGTAACAATTAACAGTAACAACTGTGGCAAGGAAGCTTATAAAATGGGGCTAAATGGAAGTTTTGGACTCAATAATTGTCATAAGTCAAGGACTGCCTGCCGTGGCTTTTAATGTATGAATTAAAGCAAATATATTTTCACATGAATATAAATTTTGTAGAAAAGGGGTTTTTAAGAGAGGGAATGAAAAGATTTCTCCCAGAGTTCTAGATTCAGATTCTCATCTTTTTAAAAAATCAGACCATGTTCCTGCTGCATTTTGGGGGAGGGCGGGAAGTTCTGGTCAACTTCCCCAGTTGTGACAAGAGGAGAAACACATTTCTGAATGCTACTAGAGTTCAAATAGTCACTTTGCTCACGTTAAAAATGTGTTACCTGAGAAACCAAGCATGTTTTTTTTCATTTTTCATAAAGAACTGAATCAATGCCGCCCATTAATTCAAAATTACCGTATTTCTTACAATTCATTCTGCGGTGGGATTTGTCTTAGAGATGATCTGGGGCACAGCTTTCCCAAACCAATACCCATGTTTACAGGACAGCAATTGCCATGCGTATTTTGCCAGCGTTGAGAAAATGAAGCTCCACAGACACTGTCCAGAATTTCACCTTAGCAATTGTCCTCCTTTCTCCATTGTTAAATAAGTCAAGGAACCAAAATGTGTTTTAGATGGAGTGGCCTCAAATATTTCTCAACCTAGGCTGCTTTAAAGATGAGTGGACTTCAAGTCCCAGAATTCCCCTGCCAGCCATGCCCATTTTCTGTCGCTCAATCCTTACAATGGAGAGATTGCAGAGAAAAGGATCCCAAGAGAGCAAGCAGGTATTCAGACATCAAAAGGAATGTCTTAGGAATCACCAGGGAATTGCTGGCTGGGGAATTCTGAGAATTGGAAATCCACTTATCTTAAAGTTCAGAAACACTGCCCCGGACACAGACACGCCCTACTCCCATGCCATAAAGATAACCCGACACTTGCATGCTTGCCTAAATTTCACAACAAACCAACATTTATTTAACAAAACACAGAGGATATGACCCTGTAACATCGATGGGGGTCTCTTGAGATCCAAACTGCAACTGTGGGCTGAGGGAGGGTGGGGTCAAGTCCTTCCATACAAGTCCACTCTTCTTTTTAAGAAACCAGGACCCCAGTTGAACTGGATTTGGCAGCCGCCCCCTCCGGGCTGTCTTTGGCTGGTGGCTTCTGCTCTTCCTCGCCCATCAGGCGAATGTTGTGCTTCTCGCGGAACTCGTTCAGTTCCCGGCCTTTGGTCTGCAGCTGTTGGCTCAGGGTCTCAATGATCTTGTTGATCTGCAGGGGGGCAAAGAAGGAAGAAGTGGCAAGAGTTAGCCAATGGGGCGGCTGGAAGTTCAGGTCCCGCCTTAGCCACAAAATCTGGCTGGATGACCTTGGGCCAGTCATTCTCTCTCAGCCCAGCTAACCTCACAGGGTTGTTGTTACTGTAGGGAAAATAGGAGGGGGATTAGGTATGTTTGCCGCCTTGGGTTAGGAAGGAAGGAAGGAAGGAAGGAAGGAAGGAAGGAAGGAAGGAAGGAAGGAAGGAAGGAAGAAGGGAGGAAAAGGGAATGAAGGAAGGAGAGTAAAGAAAAGAATGGAAGGAAAGAGAAAGAGGGAAAGGAGGGGAGGGGAGGGGTGGGAGAGAGGGAGGAAGGAAGGAAGGAAGACTCTCTTTTCACCTTCGTTGAAGAGGCAGGGATGTCTATTTGGGCGGATCTAGGCTCAGAAAAATAACTCCCTGTAGTTAACATAGAATTATGTCCAACCTGAACTGAACTGGGAGGCTGGGATCTGTTATTCATGCCATAACAGGCTGGCAGTGAAAAACTGACAAGGCTGGGAGAACCGATGTCAAATGGCAGTGTTATATTTGGGTTTGCTTCTTCCCAAATTGCAGTGACTTTCTGTGCCTCGGAGAAGCCTGGGAACTGGAAGAACCGTGGCAGCCCTGTCCAACTCGAGAATCCCTCCTCCAACAGGGGGCATAAGAAGTCATGTTAAAGTGGTGGAGTGGGGATTATTTTTTCCTTACAGGAATGTAAGGAATGTACGCAAAAAATTATCATGAAATAGAGCACAACTCACTAGAGCAGGGGTCTCCAACCTTGGCAGCTGGCTGGGGGAATTCTGGGAGTTGAAGTTCTCCAGGCTTAAAGTTGCCAAGGTTGGAGACTCCTGCTCCAGAGCGACTTGCGTAACAACTGTGGCAAAAACACATCGTAAAATGGGACACGGCTCACTTAACAACCGCCTTGCTTAGCAATGGAAATTTGGGGCTCCATTTATTTATTTTGTCATGGTTGTGTAGTGTATATTGGAGGGGGTGAGTCTTGGAGAGCTGTTATGCAATGAAATTTCATTTTAATGTATGCCGATTAGTGGACATTCAAAGTGACAATAAAGCTATTCTAAGTCTAAGTCTTCGTTAAAAGTGCCAAAGAGACCTCACTGAGAGTTGGAGAGGCTACGCAATGTCCGAACAGCCTTATTTATTTATGTATGGGGTTTTTTTTCCCCTGCCATCTGCCATCCATCTTCCCGTCAAGCGACTCTGTCTTACCTGCTCCTTGTTGTTTTCCAGGGCTGGGAGGACTTCCTTGACTGTGCGCTCCACCAACACCCCCCCTACCATGCGGAAACACTTCCGGGTCGGGTCGACCTCTCGGAGGGTCTCAATAACCAACCTGCAGAGGGGATGAAAATTGCAAGCTTGGTTCAGCATCAGGCAACACAAGGAAAGAATCTAGAAATCAAGGAACCCGTAAATTGGTTGGCAAGACTTGAAGCCTCGTTGCTGCCCAGTGGCGTCATATTTTAAACGCAGGTAGTCCTCAACTTACAACTGCTCATTTAGTGACCATTTGAAGTTACTGGAAAAAAGTGCCTTGACTGTTTTTCATACTTATGACCGTTGCAGCATCCCCCTGGTCAGTGATCAAAATTGAGACGCTGGGCAATTTTGACTCATATTTATGACAGGTCAAGGGCTTCCCTTTTGCAACAAGCAAGGTTCATTTCGAAGTCAAATTCACTTAACAACCATGTTGCTAAGCTAACAAGTGCAGTGATTCACTTAACAACCGGGGCAAGAAAGGTCATAAATGGGGCAAGGCTCACTTAACGGTCACACTTAGCAACAGAAATTCGGGTCTCAATTTGTAGTCGTAAGTCAAGGACTACCTGTAGTAGGTGGATCTGGGCTACCCTAATGGAATTACAATCAAAGCAGAAAAAACAGCAGGCTTTTTTCTCTGCCAAGAGTCCCCGCTTTCCATCTGTGGCCACGACATACTTGTGCTCGTTCAGCTCCATCTCCAGCTCAGCCGCCTTTGAAGCCAGACCTCTCTGCTCCTGGCGGAGGCGGTTGAATCCTGCTACCACCTGGAAGGGAAAATGACATCTTACGTTGATAAAGGAGAACCCCTCTTATTTCTTCTTTCTAGGCCCCCCCACATCCTGTCTTTTGTGAATAAATTTGAGATGGTAAACAGCCACCATCTTTGCTTTCCTCAACTAGTGGAGTGCACTGAGGATTTGTGACAACCATCCCTGTGTACAGAGGTGGGTTTCACATTTTGTTGGTACCGGTTCTCCACACGCATGCACCCGGCCTTCCACACATGTGCTTTGCTTGTGCATGTGTCTTCCGCGCATGCGCCTGGCCTCAAAACTGTGCCTAAATAGGACGGCATAGAGTCGAGGCGGGTAAGTGGGCAGGCCCACCCGTGATCTCTGCTACCGGTTCGCCTGAACCAGTACGAACCGGCTGAATACCACTTCTGCCTGTGTATGTCTGTCGAGATTCTCAGTCATCATCCAGGTCCTGGTTGTCCCAAAGGTGCTTTTTTCAGGAGGCAACTGGACTTTCTTGTTTTTTCTCTGAAGACGTTTTGCTTCTTATCCAAGAAGCTTCTTCAGCTCTGACTAGGATGGAGGGGAATGGAAGGGTTTATATTCCTTGCAGAGAGCTGGTCCTTTGCATCCTTTTAGGGTTTGCAAGGAATATAAATCCTTCCATTCCCCGCTATCCTGTCAGAGCTGAAGAAGCCTCCTGGATGAGAAGTGAAACGTTTTCAAAAGAAAAAAGAAAGTCCAATTGCCTCCTGCCTGCCTTCTGTTTTTCGTCACCTGTCAATTCCCCCCTCCCAATTTCCCATCAAAAAAGTATACAGCAACCTGACCGTTTGTTCCCCCCTTGTTTGTTCCCCCCTTGTCCCCCCTTCCCACCCTCCCTTCCTCCTGATGACAGGAGGGAAGGTAACCATCACATATTAAATGTATATGCCATCTGTGTCACTTTCCAGAATGAATCTGGCTGGCTTAGCATGGCCACTTTGATCAGAAGCCCCTGTTGCGAGGGGGGGGGTGTCTTTGTGTAATGTTTTAGGAATGTCTTTGATTAATGATTCTTAATGACACTTATGACTGCATGACTGTAACTTTGTTGCTTGTATCCTTACGATTTATATTCATATTGTTTCCTAATTGCTTATTTGTACCCTATGACTTTCATTAAGTCATAAGTTAATGATAATTAACATAAGTTAATTAAGTGTTGTACCTTATGATTCTTGACGAATGTATCTTTTCTTTTATGTACACTGAGAGTGTATGCACCAAGACAAATTCCTTGCGTGTCCAATCACACTTGGCCAATAAAGAATTGAATTGAATTGAATTGAATTCTATTCCTTTGAATTAACATCATCTTCTCCATGTGGAATGTGGATTCTCTAAGAACCAGTTCAAACCAGCCAGAAACAAGGTCTGCAAAGATTTGAGCTCTAGTCACTTGCAAACTCAGTATAATTCAGGAGGGAAACACACCTCCTGAACGTGAAATTGAGCCCAGACCCAGGTCTGCATTCGCACGTTATCTTTTAAGCTCGCTTTGTTTTACCTCTGATTGACCCCAACTTCCAGCGGAGGCAGCAGGTCAGTCATCAGTTACTGAGTTTAAACGTTCTTGGGATAAGCACATGTCCATCATATGACATTTTAAAATTAAATTAAATTAAAGATAATAAATTAAAAGTAAGACCAAAAAACCCCTCAAAGAGCAGACTCAATAGATGACTAGGTCTTTTCTGCCCTCAAGTTTTCTTATACAGGTAGTCCTCAACTTACGACCACAAACGAGCCCAACATTTATGTTGCTAAGCGAGACATGTCGTTAAGTGAATCTGGCCCCATTTCAACACCTTCCTTGCCATAGTTTTTAAGCGAATTGTTGCCGTTGTTAAAGTTAGTCAGGCGGCTGTTAAGCGAATCTGGCTCCCCCCGTTGGCTTTGCTTGTCAGAAGGTCACAAAAGGGGATCACGTGACCCGGGGAGACCGTCATAAATATGGGACAGTTGCCAAATGGCCAAATTTTGATCACCTGACCACTGGGAAGGGGGGGCGCTGCAACGGCCGTTAAGTGTGAAAAATGATCATAAGCCCCTTTTTTCAGTGCCGTTGTAACTTGGAACGGTCACTAAGCGAATGGTTGTAAGTCGAGGACTACCTGTATTTCTATGACACTCTCCCCCCGCCCTTCCCCCCAGTGGATTCAGGAACCTTCCAGGCCCAGATCAGGATTCGAATCCTAAACCGCCCAGAGTCACCGACTGGGAGGGGCAGCTACAGAAAATTAATAGTGAATAAAAAGTAAAAATGAAAAAAGAATAAAAGAAATGAGGAAGGTCTCCTAAGAGCCTCGTGATGGGCCTGGTGGGGATCGAGGAAACGGGTTCAGGGCGCTCTGCACATGCTCTGGGGAGAGAAGCGGCACCGTCGCCCGTGGCAACCGCATCCTTCTGCTCGGCGGGGCGCTCTGCACATGCCCAGAAGCCCGCCGCTCGACTCGCTCCCGGCCCGCCCCCCGCGGTACCTGCTCGGGAGTCAAGGGCTTCGCCGCCCCGCCACCGCCGGCAGGACCCGCCGGAGCCGCCGCCGGGCCGCTCTTGCTCTTGCTCTCCTCCGCCATCTTCGCCCTCCTCCCTCCGGGCTGGGAGAAAGACGACTTCCGGGTTGCCGGGTTCTTCGAACGGGGACCGGAAGCGGCCGTTGGCGCCGTTTCGTCCGCCATCTTTGAGACGGGCATCTTCCCCTCCTCGCCTCTTTCTCCGGGAAATATAACAGCAGCCACATTGAAAACCAAAGTTCTGCCACAGAGAGTGAAGGGGACGTGAACATAAGTCGAGCTCGGGCGGTTTATTTCAGCCTGCTAACATCCTGAGGTGTCCATCTTTGTTAAGGGCGCGGCTAACACCTCCCAGGGGGCTGCTCGCCGCCACCACGTGACCGGCCCGCGAGGGAAAAACGGCGAAAGGACGAACGTTATTCAAATCAGGCAAGCGGAAGCGGAAATGGGGCGGGCTGTTGAGCGTCGGTGCCGCCATCTTTGTTAGGGGCTCAGTGGACTTCCGGGATGCAGCTGCCTGCCGCTGGCGTGGAAGCTCCTCGGGGCGCGCGTGGGCCGGAGGCAGGAGCGGAATGTGGGGCGCTGCAGCTGCAGGGCTGGGAGGGAGGGAGGCTGGCTGGGAGGTTGGAGGCACGAGCCCCACCCCCCAATTAGCCCATTTTCATGGGGGGCGGGGTCTGGGTATGGGGTGTCAGTAACCCGGTTGCAGCAAGTTGTGCAAATGCAAATGCAAATGCAAGGCTTTTCAGGCTTGGCCCCTTTAAGAGCGGTGGACTTCAACTCCCAGGATTCCCCAGCCAGCAAAGAATTCTGGGAGTTGAAGTCCACCCGTCTTAAAACATTGGCTGAGGAATTCTGGGAGTTGGGAGTCCACCCATCTTCAAGTGGCCAAGCTTGAAAAAACACAGTATTAGTTCTTCAGCTGGGTTCAAAGAGTCGTATGAAGCTGCCAATGAATCACAGTGTAGGAAAAGAGTTAATCGATGTGGCAGGGCAGGGACTGGTGGAGAAGAGGTGACAATAAAATACAGGTAGATGGTTTATCTCTACGTGACTGTTGATGGCTGATTTGTCCAAGTACCAAAGAGATCAAGCAAGCTCAGAGATCACCAAGGACTTCACTGTTCACCTCTGAGCTACAAATATTCTCTTCTATTAAAACCATGAACCTCCTCCATGGTTTGGAAGCTTAGAAACAAAAGACTTTTCATCCTTTTGACTATTCCAGGTTGAGAGGGCTTGTCCAGAAGACCTTGCAAATCCTGTGTGGTGCTGGGAAACAGTTTAGAAGGATCCAGAGCCAGGGACCTGGCCACAGGTAACTCGCCTCAGGGCCGCTTTTGCACCACACCCTCAGAGCAATAAGACAGGGTAGGAAAATGGAAAAAGTTGATGTGAAGCTCCAGCATTCTGAACTGCGAGTTACAGTTCAGCCATATCTGAAGGATAACTTGCCTTCAGAAGTTGTGGGAGCTTCATCACCGGAAACTTTCAAGAAGAGACTGGACTGCCATCTGTCAGAAATGGTGTAAGGTTGGACTAGATGACCTACAAGGTCCCTTCCAACTCTGTTAATCTATTAAAAACACTGATTTCTGGTGCTTTTTACAACTTGGTATGTGGCCTTCCCTTGTTTATTTTCATTGCAACTCTGTAGGTATCCTGGCCCAGAATTGGGTTCTGTTTACTCCTAGAATTTTGCACCATGTTAATCCATGGTTTGCACAACTGAGTCCATTTTTGGGGATTTGCATAACAGAGAGATCAACCATCCATCCAGTATATTGAGTACACAAGACACATTAGGCTAAAATATGGTGCGCTAGTTTGCGATTCGGCATTTGCTGTGGATGCAATCTTCTGTCTATTGATTGCTATTCAACACTCTGGGCGTTAAGAATGCCGATTAATAATTTTAAAATAGGAGGTCTGCCATTTTATATCTAGTTGAAATGTAGGGATTTTCAAAAAACTCAGTTGTTACCTTCCACTTTCAGGTTAATGCAGGGATAGAAAACAAACGTTTTCTTCCCCAGCAACCCAAAAATCTAAACCTAAACCGAGAAGTTAAACGCTAAGTAAATTTTCTGTCTCATCTCGGGGGTTGATGATTTCTGCATAGATTTCCTCTGATCCTTTCTCCATATTTTCTCTCCAGTTTCCCAGCCATGTCAACAGGTGCCAGAGGCTCAAAGCCTCTCATTGCTGTCTGCCAGGTGACTTCGACGCCGGATCGAGAACACAACTGGACGACTTGTTCACAGCTGGTCCGAGAGGCAACTCGGAGGGATGCTTGCATTGTCTTCCTCCCGGAAGCCTTTGACTTCATTGGCAGCTGCATGGAAGAGACCCTCAGCTTGGCGGAGCCCTTGGAGGGGGATTATCTTCAGCGCTATGTCAGCCTGGCCAGGTGGGACGTGCAGGGTGCCAGAATGGCTTCTCAACGAATTTGGATCCTTATGGGAGCCTATCAACATACAACTAAGATGAATAATAAAAATGGCCACAGAACAAATCAGTTTGGTCTAGGGTTAAGGCACCAGGCTAGAAACCAGGAGGTTGTGAGTTCAAGTCCTGCCTTAGCCATGAAAGACAGCTGGGTGACTTTGGGCCAATCGCCAGGAGATGGTGAGTTCTAGTCCTGCTTTAGGCATGAAACCTGATTGGGTGAAAAACCTGGTTTAGGCCATTCACTTTCTCTCAGCTAAACCCACTCACTGGGTTGTTATTGTAAGGAAAATAGAAGAAGGAAGGTCTGTTAGGTGTGTTTGCCATCTAGAGTTATTTATAAAAATCATAAAGGCAAGATAAAACATCTTTAAAAAATGTGTTCATCTCTTAAGATGATGTTTCTGAACTTTAGCAACTTTAAAACATGCAGACTTCAGCTCCCAGAATTCCCCAGCCCCAGTATGATTGGCTGGGGAATTCTGGGAGTTGGTCCACACCTCTTAAAGTTTCTGAGAAACCCTAGCCTAAGATTCTTTCAGAAATAATAATAATAATAATAATAATAATATAATAATAATAATAATAATAATAATAATAATAATAATAATAATAATAATAATTTTATTTCTATACCGCCCTTCTCCCGAAGGACTCAGGGCGGTGTACAGCCAATTTAAAAACACAAGACAAAACAATGATTAAAAATTAAAATAATTAAATAGATTTGGCCCGGTTTAAAACCCCGAAAATTTAAAATACCCCAATTTAAAATTATTATGTTGATAGCCCGGCCTGGCGGAACAAATAAAATAAAAGATCTTCGTTCTTGTAGTAGATGCAGAGAATGGCTCCATCTTCTGTAGGTGCCACCAAATGGGGAGGAGGAGAACCTCAGCCAGGCCCACCCAGGTGGAAACAAATCTTTGCTTCTCTCCGGACAGGGAGTGTGCAGTGTGGCTGTCCCTTGGAGGTTTCCACGAGAGGGGCAAAGACTGGGAAAGCACGCAACGGATCTACAACTGCCACCTTCTTGTGGATCCCAAAGGTAACGAAATGTCCTTAAATTAGGTGCCTTAAATTTTTGCGCCCTTCCTCCAATATTCCTGCAGCAAGAGAGTACAGTCACACAGGTGCTGAGTCAGATTGGACTAAAACATACGAAGAACGGTTGCAGGAACTGGGCATGGCTGGTCTAGTGAAGAGAAGAACCAGGGGAGACAGGAGAGCATCTTCCAATATTTGAGAGGCTGCCACAGAGAGGAGGAAGGGGGTCAAGCTATTCTCCAAGGCACCTGAAGGCCAGACAAGGAATAATGGATGTAAACTGAAGGAGAGATTCAACCTGGAAATAAGGAGGAATTTTCTGACAGAGAGAACAATCAACCCATGGAACAGAAGTTGCCTTCAGAAGTTGTGGGAGCTTCATCCCTGGAAGCTTTCAAGAAGAGACTGGGCTGCCATCTGTCAGAAATGGTATAGGGTCTCCTGCTTGGGCGGGGGGTTGGACTAGATGACCTACAAGGTCCCTTCCAACTCTGTTAATCTGTGTCTGTATCTGGATTGTCCATGTTTCCTTAAAAAATTCTACTTTGCAGTGGTGATAGTTGGAAACATTCAACTTCACACATCAAATTAAGATATAAAGCCTGTTGATGAAGTACAGTGGCTGTGTTTACACAACTTCTTAAGTCAACACAAAGCACCCAGGATGGCTTGAGTTTACACTGTTATGTTCAACCAACAGGTGGTTGGTTTTTTTGTGGGACAAACATTGTAATCTGTAAACACTGGTTTAGGACTCAGGGCGAGGAAAAGCAGCTGTTTAAAGCTGTATGCCATACAGAAAAGCCTTTGGATAAATCTAAGGTTAAATTAAACTTGGAATCTTAGGTACATTGCTGAAATTACATGGTGAAAGAAAGGCTGTGTAGAGGTAAGAAAGAAACCGTACCAGAAAAGGCAAGAGTTTGTGAAATATATTTCTGAAAAAGAGAAGATTTGTAGGTCGGGGTAGAACTGTGGAGTTCTTGGTGGTCTCTGAGCATGGTGGTTTTGTTTTTTTGTGGTCTCTGAGCGTGGTTGTTTTTTCCCAGACGTTTCATGGCCCAGTTGGGTAACATCATCAGTGCTAGAAGAAAACAACCAAGCTCACAGAGCACCAAGGACTCCACGAATATAGAAAGCCATGTATTAACAGAATAAGAGAGTTGGAAGGGACCATGGAAGTCTTCTATTCCAACCCCCTGCTCAAGCAGGAGACCGTATACCATTTCAGACAAGTGGCTGTCCAATCTCTTCTTCAAAACCTCCAGTGATGGAGCACCCACGATTTCTGAAGGCAACTTCTGTTCCAGTGGTTAATTGTTCTCACTGTTAGGAAGTTTCTCCTTAATTCCAGGTTGCTTCTCTCTTTGATGAGTTTCCATCCATTGCTTCTTGTTCTGGCTTCTGGTGCTTTGGAGAATAATTTGACTCCCTCTTCCCTATGACAGCCCCACAAATATTGGAAGATGCTATCTCATCATCCTTAGTAGTTCTGTTAAGAAAATTAAATTGCTGAGCACATTGTAAGCCGCCCTGAGTCTTCGGAGAAGGGCGGCATATAAATCAAATTAAAAAAAAAAAAAAAAAAAAAAAAAAAAAAAAAAAAAAATAAACTGAGGTGTCACCCTTTATTCTCATAATATCAGATCTTGGGTCATCCAAATGACTGGCAAGATATTCTTTTAATTTATTCTAACAATTTTTTTTCCTGAAGTATGGAAAATTATTTTATGGAAAGATCCCAATAAATTATTACCGGTATGAGCTTCATCCCAGGTTGGAAAATGGAGGTCTTAAATTATAGGCAGGCAGGAAAAAATATATCCTGAAAATAAAAAATTGGACATTGGTAATTACTTTCTGAAAGCATAATGTCAGAGGATGTGATACAGGGAGCCCTGGACTCATGACCACAATTGAGCCCAAAATGTTCATTGCTAAGAGTCACTTACCGTATTTTTCAGAGTATAAGACGCTCCGGACTATAAAATGCACCTACCTTTTTTGGGGAGGAAAACAAGAAAAAAAAAATCTGCCTCTGCCTCCCAGCAATTTGCCTCCTTGCAGGAAACAGCAAACAGGCTGCTTTAGTTTCATTTTCAGCACAGCCTGATTAGCACAAGAAAAAAAAAATCTGCCTCCCGGCAATTTGCCTCCTTGCAGCAAACAGTGGAGGCCCGCGCGGCAATAGGCAATGGCAATCCCTGCAGCCTGAAACAGCTGAGGGTCGGGAGGCCCATCCAACCGACAATCAGCTGCTTGTGCTAATCAGGCTATGCTGAAACTGAAACAGGCTGTTTGCTGTTTGCTGCAAGGAGGTAAATTGCTGGGAGGCAGAGGCCAAAGGGTGGGGGCCGGTGGGTGGGTGGGGCTACATTCAGTATATAAGACGCACCCAAATTTTCACCCTCTTTTAGGGGGGGAGTGCATCTCATACTATGAAAAATATGGTAAATGAGTTTTGCCCCCATTTTACAACCTTCTTTGCCACAGTTAAGTGAATCATGCAGTTGTTACATCATTAACCCGGTTGTTAAGTGAATCTGGCTTCCCCATTGACTTTGCTTGTCAGACGGTTGCAAAAGGGGATCATATGACTCCGGGACATTGCAACCGTCATAAATAAGAGCCAGTGGCCAAACATTTGAATTTTGATCACCTGACCAGCGTGTAGTCGTAAGTGGGAAAAACGTTTTTTTAGTAGTTTATTGTTTGAAGGGTCATTAAACAAGCCGAGGATCACCTCTTAGCTGGCATGAATATTACATACATGAGGTTGTAATTTCGTAGATTTTATTCCCAGTCTCTTTATCTGCTCCTAATCCACCGGATCCTTCCTTTCTCCTTGGCGAGGCTGGTCTCAGGGTATGTTGTGGCTACTTATCGGAAGATCCACCTGTTTGATGTGGAGCTGGAAGGGAGGGTCTCTCTGAAAGAAAGCGCCTTCACCAACCCCGGCTCAGAGATAGTGCCACCTGTGCCCACCCCGGCTGGAAAGGTACGGGGTTCGAAACGGGGCTCTGCGGCCTCGCCTGGGGGGGGGGGGCTGAGGAGCACCTAGCCCTCCTTTCACCTTTACAATGAATTTCCATGTACAGGTAAATCCTCATGATCGCAAGTGAGCCCAAATTTTCCGTCACTAAATCAATCACTCATTAAGTGAGTTTTGCCTCATTTTACGACCTTTCTTGCCATAGCTTTTAAGTGAATCACTGAAGTTCTTAAATTAGTAACACCGCTGTTAAGTGAATCAGGCTTTCCCCCTTGACTTTGCTCGTCGGAAAGATCGCCAAAGGGGATCACAGTGACCCTCCCGGGACACTGCGTCTGTCATAAATACGAGTCAGTTGCCAGAATTTCAATCACGTGACTATGGGAATGCTGCAACGGCAGGGGTAAAATCCAGCAGGTTCTGACAGGTTCTGGAGAACCAGTTGTGGAAATTTTGAGCAGTTTGGAGAACTGGCAAATACCATATCTGGCTGGCCCCTGAGTGGGGTGGGAATGGAGATTTTGCAGAATCCTTCCCCTGCCACTCCCATCAAGCCACACCGTGCCCACCAAGCCATGCCCACAGAACCGGTAGTAAAAAAGTTTGAATTTCACCACTCTGCAACAGTTGTAAATTTCAACACAGTCACTTTTTGTTAGTAATTTCAAACGGTCACTAAATGAACCATTGTAAATTGAGGACCACCTGTAATTTCCTTGTATGGGGGTTAATCATCCTTGACTATTTCTAAATTTTTAACTTTTAAATCCTCTTATATATTTTAATGTTTGATGGCACGCCATCCAGATTTCCTCTCTCAGGGAGATGGGCAGTTCCAAAATGTGAACAATAAATAAAAATAAAAAAACACGGAACAAAATTCAGACCCTGGGCAACTAATTAGTAAGGCCACACCTAGAATACTGCATCCACACTATGAAAAAGATGAAGAGACTCTAGAAAGAGTGCAGAGAAGAGCAACCAGGATGATGAGGGGACTGGAGGTTAAAACATACAATGAAGAACAGTTGCAGGAAGTGGGCATGGCTAGTCTAATGAGGAGAAGGACCAGGGAAGACATGAGAGCATCTTCCAGTATTTGAGGGGCTGCCCCAGAGAGGAGGAAGGTGGTCAAGCTATTTTCCAAGACACCAAGGCCAGACAAGGAAGAATGGATGGAACAAGGAGAGATTGAACCTGGAAATAAGGAGGAATTTTCTGACAGAGAGAACAATCAACCCATGGAACAGAAGTTGCCTTCAGAAGTTGTGGGAGCTTCATCCCTGGAAGCTTTCAAGAAGGAACTGGACTGCCATCTGTCAGAAATGGTGTAGGGTCTCCTGCTTGGGCAGGGGATTGGACTAGATGACCTACAAGGTCTCTTCCTCTATTAATCTGTATCTAACATGTTATTTACAGCGCTTGGAGCATCCTGTGATTTCCTTGAGGCTTTCTGACATGCAGAGTCAATGGGGGAAGATGGATTTGCTTAACGACCATGGGGAAAAAGGTCGTAAAATCAGGCCTGATTCACTTAGGGATGGGGGTTCCAATCCTAATTGTGGTCGTAAGTCGAGGACTAGCTGTGCTACTTAACATCTCCTCAGTTCTGGACATTTCTCACCGGTTCTGCCCCCTTTGCAGGTGGGGCTGGCCATCTGCTACGATCTCCGTTTCCCAGAAATGTCCCTGGCTCTGGCCCAGGCGGGGGCTGAGATCCTCACCTACCCATCAGCCTTCACTGTGACAACCGGCGCTGCCCACTGGGAGGTAAGTCCCTCGGCCTTTGCTATAGGGGGCCCTCCACTTAACAACAATTCGCTTAGTGGCCGTTCGAAGTTACAACAGCACTTTAAAAAGTGACTTACGACCACTGCAGCCTCCCCAGGATCACATGATCAAAACTCAAGACGCTTGGCAAGTGACCCATGTTTATGGCAGTCGCAATGTCCCGGGGTCATGTGATCCTTTTTTGCAACTTTCCGACAAGTAATGCCAATAGGGGACGCCTTAATGATTGTGTTACTAACTTAACAACTATAGTTTGCTTAATAACTGGCAAGAAAGGTTGTAAAATGGGACATTCACTTAATGAATGTTTCACTTAGTGACAGAAATTTGGGACTCAATTGTGGTAGTATGTCAAGGACTGCTTGTATTACATTCACAGCTTCCTTCTCTCCCTCTCTTCCTTCTTATATCAGTGGAACAGCTTGCCACCAGAAATTGTGAGCACTCTATCGCTGGATATTTTTAAGAAGAATCTAGACCAGTGAGGGTTAACCTTTTTGCCGTCACGTGCCAAAAGCAGGGGGGACACTCAATGTCCCCGTGCCCCGTCCCCCCATGCATGCACATGCGACCCCCTGCGCCCCCCCCCTGCTTTTGGCACACACTGGCCCGGTAGGCCCGTTTTTCACCCTCCCCAGGCCCCAGAGGCTTTCTTGGAGTTTGGGGAGGGCAAAAACAGCCTTCCCCACCCACCCAGAGGCCTTCTGGAGGCCAGAAACAGCTCGTTTCCCGACTTCTGGTGGGTCCGGAAGGCACAAAAATCAACTGGGCACGCTGGAGCTGAGCTAGGGCAACGCTTGCGTGCCCACAGATATGGCTCCGGGTGCCACAGGTTTGCCATCACAGATCCAAACAGTCACTTATCTGAAATGTATAGATTCTCCTGCTTGTACTAGAAGACCTTGTATTGAGGTACTAATACCACTCTAAAGCCTTAGTAAGGCCCCATCTAGAATCCTGCATCCAGCTTTGGTCACCACACTATAAAAAAGAGTGTAGAGAAGGGCAACCAGGATGATGAGGGGACTGGAGGCTTAAACAGACAAACGGTTGCAGGAACTGGGCATGGCTAGTCCAGTGAAGAGAAGGACCAGGGGAGACATGATGGAAGAGAGGAGGAAGGGGGGTCAAGCTATTCTCCAAAGCACCTGAAGGCCAGACAAGGAATAATGGATGGAAACTGAACAAGAAGAGATTCAACCTGGAAATAAGGAGAAATTTCTTGACAGTGAGAACAATCAACCCATGGAACAGAAGCTGCCTTTGGAAGTTGTGGGAGCTCCATCACCGGAAGCTTTCAAGAAGAGGCCGGACTGTCAGAAATGGTGTAGTAGGGTCTCCTGCTTGGGTGGGGATTGGACTAGATGACCTCCAAGGTCCCTTCCAACTCTGTTAATCTAATCTAAAACCTCCATGGTCCCTTCCAGCTGATTCACTCTGTTCTATTTCCCAGGTCCTGCTGCGAGCCCGTGCCGTAGAGACCCAGTGCTATGTGGTGGCCGCGGCCCAGACCGGCCAGCACCACCCACGCCGCACCTCCTTCGGCCACAGCATGGTGGTGGACCCTTGGGGCAGCATCGTGGCCCAGTGCCAGGAGGGGCCCAGCCTCTGCTATGCCGAAATCGACCTGGCCTACCTGCACCACCTCCGCCAGGAGATGCCCATCTTTGCCCACCGCCAGCCCCGCCTCTATGGCCGGGCAGCTGCTGAATGGGGCTTTGCGCCCCCTTGATGGGCTCAGCTGCCCCACGGAGAGGGCTTGGCTGCTGCAGCTGGACTCTGCAGGGGCTCTGGCCCTCCAGTAGCTGCTGTCCAAAGGGGCCAAGAGAAAACGGGAAGGAGAGAAATAGAATGCAGACAACTTCTGAGATGGGGAGGGAGGCATTTCAACACAATTCCCCCTCCTGGGAGCATCCGATGTTTGGTTTTGGCTACTCAGACATTTGGGGTTCAGACTGGCATGGGGTCCAGTCACTCACTTTTCCTCGAGAGGGCCTCCATTCCTGATATAAATTTGTATTTCAGCCACACGCCTTTCCTTTCTTCACTTTAATAATCCAGATTTTCTAAGCAGCTCAAGACTCTTTTATTTCTGTTGGATCAGAGATGTCCAACCTTGGCAACTTTTAAGACTTGTGGACTTCAAGTCCCAGAATTCCCCAGGCAGCACAGTTGAATTCTGGGAGTTGAAGTCCACAGATCTTCAAGTTTCTAAAGTTGGGAGACTGCTGGTTTTGATAAAATAAAAAGGGGTACATCATCTTCAGAAGTTAACATTCTCTCTGCCAGAACAGGATTTTCTATTCAGCTTGTATGTATTTTTACTTTTTAAATTTTATTTTTCACATTTTTGAACCCCCCCATCTCCCTCAAAGAGGGACTCTAGGCAGAGTCACCCCCCAAATAAAGTATGTTCACTTTTTGTGATATGCAGGTGTACATATACATATACAATATATCACAGTACACCCCCTCACATTTTGTAAGTATTTAAGTACATCTTAATGTTCTCTATTTTTTCTTCTATTATCTTTTCATGTGACAACACTGAAGAAATGACACTTGTCTACAATGTAAAGTAGTGGGTATACAGCTTGTATAACAGTGTAAATGTCCTGTCCCCTCAAAATAATGCAAAGGCGGTCATAAAATTGGACGCAACTCAATGGACGCCTTGCTTAGCAATGAAAATCCTGGTCCCAATTGTGGTCGTAAGTCGAGGACTACCTGTACACAGAGGTTAGGACCATAAAGTTATTTCAGGATGTACCAGGGGTCTAATAGCCTATAGCCTAATCTAGGGGTCTCCAAACTTGCCGACTTGAGGACTACAACTCCTAGAATTCTTCACTCTGTAACTTTACGACTTATGGACTACAACTACAAAGGTTGTTGAGAGCGTGGTGGCACGGCAGCTCCCGTTGGCCCTGGAGGATACAGACTACCTCGATCCATACCAATCGGGTTTCAGGCTGGGATACAGCACAGAGACGGCATTGGTCGTGCTGGTGGATGATCTTTGGAGGACTCGGGACGGGATACTCCTCTATTCTGGTCCTCTTGGATCTGTCGGCAGCTTTTGATACCATCGACCATGGTATCTTGCTGCGACGGCTCAAGGGAATGGGAGTGGGAGGCACTGTTCTACGGTGGTTCTCCTCCTATCTCTCGGGCCGTACGCAAGCGGTGTTGGCAGGGGGGCAGTGGTCGGCTATGAGGCCCCTCACTTGTGGGGTGCCCCAGGGGTCGGTCCTCTCGCCTCTCCTGTTCAACATCTATATGAAGCCGCTTGGGAAGATCATCCGTGGTTTTGGGGTGCGGTATCAGTATGCTGATGATACCCAGCTTTTTATATCCACCCCAAACCAGCCCAGTGATGCCCTCGACATGACATCCCGCTGCCTGGAAGCAATACGGAGCTGGATGGGGAGGAACAGGCTCCCCATCCAGGAACTCAACCCTGCCAAGACTGAGTGGCTGTGGGTACTGGCATCTTGGTCCGATCGAGATCTTCCATCATTGACCATCGGGGGTGAGGTGTTACCCCCTGTGGATATGGCTCGCAACTTGGGTGTCGTCCTGGATTCACGGTTGTCTCTGGAAGATCATGTAACGACTGCGGCCAGGGGGGCATTTGCCCAGGTTCGCCTTGTACGCCAGTTGCGCCCTTATTTGGACCAAGATGCCCTACGCACTGTTACTCATGTGCTGGTCACCTCCCATCTTGACTACTGCAACGCGCTCTACCTAGGGCTGCCCTTGAAAACCACTCGACAGCTTCAGCTGGTGCAGAATGCAGCCGCGCGGGTTGTGATGGGAGCGTCCCAACACTCCCATGTTACACCCCTCCTGCGCGACTTGCATTGGTTACCAGTTGCCCTTCGGGTGAGGTTCAAGTGCTGGTTATTACCTATAAAGCCCTGCATGGCCTAGGCCCGGGATATTTGTCGGACCCCCTGCAGCCAGTGACAATTCCCAATCACCCGTTGCGTTTCCAGCCAGACAGTGTCGGCTGGCGACCCCCAGGGGGAGAGCTTTCTCTGTGGGCGCACCCACCCCCTGGAACCAGCTTCCTTTGGAGCTCCGGATGGCCCCTGACCTTTGCTAGTTCCGCCGTGAGTTGAAGACCTGGTTGTTCCGCAGCCTGGACTGATTGGGGGGGGGTTAATGAATTTTAAATTGTTTAAATTGGGATTTAAATTTTATACTGGCTTTTATGAGGAATTGTGCATTTTACCGTTGTGAGCTGCCCTGAGTCCTCGGAGATAGGGCGGCATATAAATTGCATAAAATAAAATAACTCCCAGAATTCCTCATTCTGCAACTTTACGACTTATGGACTTAAACTCCCAGAATTCCTCACTCTGCAACTTTATGACTTATGGACTTACACTCCCAGAATTCTTCACTCTGCAACTTTACGACTTATGGGCTTAAACTCCCAGAATTCCTCACTCTGCTACTTTACGACTTGTGGACTACAACTCAGGGGTGAAATGCTCCCAGTTCGGACCAGATCGCCCGATCCAGTAGCGATGGAGGCGGGTGGTTCAGAGAACCGGTAGCAAAAATCTCTGTGCTCCCCCCATCCCTATGCCCAGCTGAGCCGCACGATCATCAGAGGCTGTTTTTTTTACTTTTAAAAGCATTTTTTCTACAACCTCTTCGGCCGAAAAAATGCTTTTAAAGGTAAAAGAAAAGCCTTTGATGATCGCGCAGCTCAGCTGGGATCGTCAGAGGCTTTTAAAAGCATTTTTTCTACAACCTCTTCAGCCGAAGAGGTTGTAGAAAAACTGCTTTTAAAAGTAAAAAAAAAAAAGTTGGCCACGCCCACCCAGTCAATTACCCCCCTACCAAGCCACGCCCACAGAACATTTGTAGTAACAAATTTTAGATTTCACCCCTGCTATAACTCCCAGAATTCTTCACTCTGCAACTTTATGACTTATGGACTTCAACTCGCAGAATTCTGGGATTTGAAGTCCATAAGTCATAAAGTTGCAGAGGGAGGAATTTTGGGAGTTGTAGTCCACAAGTCATGAAGTGGTCAAGGTTGGAGACCCCTCACCCACCTATGCTTTGAGGAGGAAACACTTATTTCTTCTTGTCAAAAATCTTTTCCAGGGCATCAACTGACTTACACGGACTCTGAGAAAACTTTGGTTGGTTGGCACATACTCTTCCAGGGAGCCACCGACCCCAACAGCTGCACCGAACAAAGGCAGAAGATTTTTTTTATTATCATCATCATCATCATTTCAGGAAAAAAAAAAAACCCAAAGGTACATTAGGGAACATGCCCAGTCACACTGGCATTTCCTTAAAAAAAAATAATAATAAGTCACCGATTTTACACAAATTTGTGCCAGGATTATCATGAAACAACAAGGATTTGCAATGATTAGACTTTTGTGTACTTTGCGAGGCAGCCGGAGGAAAACAGAAAAAGCCTCCGAAGTCCGACTGGACCATTTTAAGCCAAGCAAAGGGTCACTTGCTCTGTTTTCCCAGGTTTTGGCGCCAGTTTATGCAGCCAATGGAGTCAGGGGTCATAACTTTTCCTGGACTCGCTTTGGACAAGAAGCGGATTGTTATAGGGGAAAAAAATGGGGGCAAAATTGAGAAGAGTTGCCCTGCGTTTAGATTTAGAAAAACTCACGGAAGCAGATACCACAAAAAACGGCCTGTGCAATTTTAAGGTTGGCAACTGTGCAATTTTGGAAAGAAGAGGCGTCCGCTTGGTTGGGTCACACGAAGGCATCGCATTTGGCTCTTCTGTGCACAAAGCAGGAGGGGCCTTCGCTTCCGAATCAAATCCGAAGCGCCGTTACAAACCTTTGTGAAAAAAGCCGTTTCCGGCAAATGCAGAGAAGCCAAGAGGCAAATCGTTAACACAAACTCGTAAGCGATTGAAGGTCTGGGTGAATTAAATGGCCTCTCTCTCTGCTCTGCAGGATGGGAAACCCACTTTTTCCCTGTCCGTTCCCTCCCCGTGAAATGCTCAAGGGCCACCTGAGTTTATGGCTGGATAAACTGGACGCTTGCTGGGCGGCTCCCAGTTCCTTCCCTAGCCAGAAGGTGTCAAAAGCGGCCCCTCCGCCCTCTTGAAGAAGTCAGCCAAGGGGGTCTTACTGGGAAAAGGGAGGCAGGTAGGGGGCTTGGCTGCTGCTTGCCAAAGCTTTCGCATGATTTAAGGGGGCCAAACGGAAATGACACACGGCAAGTGTGAGCACCCGATAGAAAGAAATCCAGCATGAACCAAAGAACCGATTCCTTCCTCCCAGGTTGTTCTATTTTCCCAACTGATGGAGCCCCAGCATATCCCCAGCCTCCCTGCAGCTGATAGGGAAAAGAGAGACAGGCCTGGAGGGTGGGGGGGGGGGAGAAGAGACCCCTTGCCAAGGCCTGTGGGGCTACCAAAAACGTAACCCCCACAGCTGACTACCTGGCCGTCTCCCCAAAGAAAGCGAAAATTTAGATGTAACCAGCGCTCAGCACCATGGGAAGCAAGGGCTGGTGTATGTCTGTCCCCACTCCAAGCGTCTTCCGAGCTATTTGGTTTTGCCCCACTGGTGGGGAAGTCAAGATGGGGTGGGGGGAGAAACCACCGGAGAAACAGACCAGTCAGCTAAACCAGGGATCTTCAACCTTGGTAACTTTAAGACTTGTGGACTTCAACTCCTAGAATTGCTCAGCCAGCAGCTGGCTGAGGAATTCTGGGAGTTGAAGTCCACAAGGCTTAACAGTTACCAAAGTTGAAGACCGCTGAGCTAAACCAACAGGATCCCACAAAAGTTGGGCCCGGCCACACAGGGGTGTTCCTCCCTCCTAAGCTCGGCCCCCTCTTCTTCTCTAGCTGGCAGAGGTCTTCCTTTCCATCCCAGGTGGGCAGCTGTCCTCGGAGGTTGCCTGGCTGAGGAGGGAAGGCCCTTCTCGTTCATCTCTGGAGGCCGCAGAGTGAGAGGAAAAGGCACAGGCGGGATGGAGGGCAGGGAGGGCAGAGCCAAGAGAGGGTCTCGGAGGAGCTCCTTAGCCAGAGGGGGGTCCCCGATCTCAGGGCTCTCCAACCGTGGCGACTTTAAGGTTGGGGAATCCTGGGAGTTGAAGTCCGCTCGTCTTAAAAGCTGCCAAGGTTGGAGAGCCCCGTCCTATTTGACCCACAAGGAAATCTCCCACCCCACCGAAGTGGGGTTCAGAGCAGCAGCTGTAGCTCACCCTCGTCTTTGGATCCACATCGCGTGCCCTACCTTGGCTGAGCTTCACATGAGACCCCCTCCATCGAAACACGTTCCCAGCCCTACCCCTTGCCAAACTGTGATTAAATCGGAGCCCCCCTGCTTTAAAACCATTGTTACAGAGGGGAAGCAGCCGAGTGGAAATTAGAAAACAAAAGACCACGGATGGGGAGGCAGAGCCCCCTCCCCTCCCCATGAGCCAAGGCCTCCCTTTCCGTCCCCTTCCCTCGCAGAGAGACAGGAACGGGGACCTAATGACGAGAACAGCTTCTTTAATAGGAAGGGAGGAATTAAGGGCCTGCCTTCGGGGGTTTCGTGTAGAGATCCACTGGGAGGGGGCGACGGCGGGCGAGCGAATCGATGGCAACAATACCGAAACAACAGAAAAGTCGGACAGCACAAGAGGGCAGGCGATAAGAAAAGAACCGCCGAGCACCTTTCGGGGGTCCCCCAATTGCTCAGCGAGCCCAGGAAAAGGGGGCTCCTTCGAGGCAGGGGTGCGAGACAGGCCTCTCCGGCTCCTCGTTTCCAGTTCCCCCCTGGGGGAAGAAGGGGAAAAACAGTGTATCCTCCTACGGAAAAGACTTATTCAGTATCCGTGACCGATTTCGTTCCTCGGAGATATTATCCCCCCCCCCTCTCTCTCTTCTTTTTTTTAAGGAAAATAAAAGAAAGAAAGAAAAATATTCCTCCCAACGAGAGCCTGAGGAAAGGCAGGGAAGGAAGAAAAAGGAGAAAAAAATCCACAATGAATTATCCACCGCCGGGGTTCAAGGGGCCGTCTGCAGCATCAAGTTCCTCAGGAGTTTCTGCCGGCCCACCTCGTAATCCTCTTCGTCCACGTTGACCAGGAGTTTAATGGCCTCGTGGCCCACGGCTTGCTTGAGCGAGTCTGTGATGAAGACGCCCTTCAGGGCCTCCAGCAAGGAGCCGTTGATGTAGTCGCGCCAGAAGGCGTCCAGGTACGTCAGCTCCGAGAACTTGATGTCACAGATGATGGAGCCCAGATCCCGCGACTTCAGGATCGTGTTGGCCTGGCTGAAACGTTCAAACTGGCGCTCCAGGGGGTCCTGCTTGTTGGAGAAGACGTTGCCCTCCAGGGCCGTCTCGTGCTGGCAGTATTCGGCCCGGACTCGGAGGCGGATATCTGCAGGGGGGGGGGGGGCGGAGACACCGGCAGGAGCGTTAAGTGGCAACCGGGCTGGGAAGAACAGCCTAAAGCGGGACTACAGTCTCCTAATTTCTAGACTCAATTTACAACAGTTTGTTTCAGGGGTGGGGCTGCTGGGGGTTTGCTGGGGTTTGGGAGAAACTTTAGCTAAGATTCTGTGCAGTTCGGAGAACCCCAAAATGCCACTCCTGGCTGGCCCCGCCCATCCCACCCCTCCCAGGAGTCCCGTGGCCTATTTTGGATGCAGTGCTGGGTGCGTGCAGGGGCTCGGGGAGGGGAAAAACGGGCCTACTGGAGGTTTGGGAAGGCCGGAAATGGGCCTGTTTCTGGCCTCCAGAGGGCCTCCAGAGCCTGGGGAGGCTGTTTTCGCCCTCCTGGAGGCTCAAGGAAAGCCTCTGGAGCCCAGGGAGGGCAAAAACACACACACACCCGGTCGTGGTGCAGGCTGACTAGGCAACACCCACCATGACCACGCCCACCCAGCAACTGGGCAGAGAACCCCTTGCTAAAATTTTTGAAGCCCACCCCTGGTTTCTTTAGTGACTGCTCAAAGTTACAACAGCACTGAAAAAAATGATTTATGGCCATTTTTCACCCGACACTTGCAGCATCCCCATGATCATGTGATCAAAATTCGGATGCTTAGCAACTGACTTGTATTTATGACGTTTGCAGTGTCTCCCAGCGTCAGGTGATTCCCCTTTGCGACCTTCTTGCAAGCCAAGTCTCAATGGGGAAGCCAGATTCACTTAATAACCATGTTACTTACTTAACAATTTAACAATTGTGGCAAGAAAGGTCATAAACTGGAGCAAAACTCACTTAACAACTGTCTCATTTAGCAATGGAAATTTGGGGCTCCATTGTGGTCGTAAGTCGAGGATTACCTGGTATTGTTTTTATAAATAACTCAGGGCAGTGAACATGTTCCTTCCTCCTATTTTCTGCACAACAACCCTGTGAGGTGGGTTGGGCTGAGAGAGACTGGGCCATGCCTAAAGCAGAACTACAATCTCCCTGTTTTTAGGCCAGCACCTTCACCATTAGACCAAACTAGCTCTCTACTGAAAAATACTTTAATTTAGTCTAGTATGTACTCCATGCTATGAACACAACACCAGCCATCAAATCTTCTCTGTGGTTTTCTCCAGCATTTTATTTTGCTTTCAGAACTGTTGGAGGGAGAGAAGGACTTATTCTCACAATGGAAGAATGGATGGTAAAGTTAATGGAATTAGCAGAGATGGCAAAATTGGCAATTTATTTTATTTGATTTCTAGAGCCACCCTTCTCAGCAAATTAGTCTGGGCGGATAATCTCTTTAATTTTGATTAAAGACTTTCTCTAGCTTTGATCTTACTTGAAAAAACCATTTTTTAAAATTTGAAACAGAAAGAAACAAAACTTTTAATTTCAGGAGTTGACGATTAGAAGTGTTTACGATTATGGAACTACTGGCGTACCATCGTTCCCCTTAAAGTAACAGGTTTCTACAGTGGCTATTTGAACCTCACCTGAAGAAAATCAGGAGTCACTCCTATGTTGTCCTTCCTTTTCCTTGTTCGCACTCCTAACCTTCTTTCTTTCCTGCCTTTCTTTTCTCTCTCTCTCACTTTTGCTATTTTCTTCTCTTTTATTTTTTTGCTGAAACTTAATAAAGTCTTTTTTTTTTTTTAAGAGAGAGAATCCTGGAAAGGGAGAGAGGGAAGAAGGGCTCCTCCTGCTTCACGCTGGGTTCCTACACGCTGGGAGGTGTAGCAACAACCTGTTGGCAGCCATGCTTAGCCTTTCCCCATACTGAGCTCTGTCATCTGCAGGGGGTTGGGACTAGAAGACCAGCGGGGTCCTTCCAGCCCCATGATTCTATGCCGTTTTGAGGAAGCTGATGGATCTGGTGGCAAATGGGTGTGCAGCCCTGAGGGTCCCGCGTAAAGTGTGGTTGTCGGGAACCTCACCACAGGTCTGTTTGTCCTTCGGATCCGGCGTGACGGACTTCCTCCTTTTCCGCTGGTTGCTGAGCAGCGCCCTTCCCCGGCCGGACCTCTTGGTGCAGATCTGGGGACCCGAAGAGGAGCAGCAGACCAACGGGTGGTGGGGAGGCACTGTGGGACACACAAACGTCAAAGAGCTTACATAACCACCACATATGATAGTTATGTAAAAAAAGCACAGGAGTATTGGCGGAAGATTGATTTATGGTTGGTGGAAATACTTGGAGACGAAATAGAATATAAATCAGAACTATTCCTATTGGGAATCATAAATGGGAAATACAATAAAGGGGTAACTTACTTAATAAGACATATTATAACAGTAGCAAGAATGAGTTTTGCCCAAAATTGGAAAAATAAGGAAACTCCTCTAGAAGATGAAGTGATGAAAATTTTTTTGACATGTGCGGAAATGGATAGATTAACCTTGGAATTGAAAAATAAAGGCGAGTCAGAATACCACGAGAGATGGAACAAAATGTATCAATGGTTGGAACAGAAAAGAGGGTCGAAAAACAAGAACTGACTAGAATTCATAAAATGGAGAATTAAAGTTATGTAACTACAATAGAATGATAATGGATAAAACAAATGTATAACTAATATAGATAGGAGGAGGATGTCTTTAGATATGTAAATACTGAACAGAAATTGTATATAAGTAATAAGGTATATATGATAATTATTTTTCATTTTAGTATGTATGGCAAAAAGAATGCCAGGACGGTTACACCGTGTCCAATGTTTTAATATGTGTGTAATAAAACTTTATTTAAAAAAACAAACAAAAACAAATGTAAGAGAGTTCAAAGCCAGGCGAGGTTTGCTTTGGGTGACACGGAAATTAAGTTGGATGGTCTGATTTAGCGGTTAAGGTGATATACAGCAGTGGCCAAAATTGTGGAAAACTTGGGAAAAGTGTATTTTTGAGGTTTGATGGATAATAACACTTTTTTTTTTTTTTTTTTTTTTTGGAGTTTCAAGATAATCCTATTCCACTGCTGGAATGGCCTGGGAATAGCCCAGACCTTCTTAACCCAATTGAAAATCTATGGAGCCGACTAAAGAAACTTGTTAGTCAGAAGCGACCCAGCAATAAAACCCAGTTAATAGAAGCCATCATTCAATCTTGGTTTCATATTGTAACAGCTGCAGAACTCAAAGACTTGGTTCCCTCCATGGGAAGACGTTGTAAGCCGTCATTCATACTAAAGGTTACCCAACTAAGGATTAACTGACATGGTGATAATTTTTGTATATCTCATTTTTTCTACATGTTTCACTTTTCTTCTTTATATTGTAACTGCTATTCTATTAGCAAATCCTTCATAAAAGTTATTGCATTACATTCTTGATTCAATTATCTTTTCATTGATATATAATTTTATGGCACTACTACTACAAAAAAAGTGGTGTTCTTAGCTAGTTTTAGAAAATACACTTTTCCCAAAAGGTTCCCACAATTCTGGCCACTACTGTAGAGGAGAGACAGACTGGGAGAGGATGAGTTCTAGTTCTCCCAAAGGCATGGAAGAGGTCGGGTGACTTGGGGCCAGGCTTTATAGTATAGTCATTCCTGTTAGCCCTGTGAGGTAGTCCAGAGTATAGTCCAGTGTAGTTCAGGAGTATAGCACTAAGTTTCTCAACCTTGTTCAACTTTAAGGTGGGTGGACTTCAACTTCCAGAATTTGCTTTGCTGGCTGGGGAATTCTGGGAGTTGAAGTCCACCTATCCTAAAATTGCTAAGGTTAAGAAACACCGCATTATATTAACAGAATTTTGCAAGACTGAAAAGCCCTCTTTTCCTTTCCTTTTACTCTTTGGAAAACCAAGTTAGGTCTCTTCCAAAACAATCCCCACACCCCCTTAATTTTATGGGCTGAAATACCCTTACATGCCGGTTTTCCAAGCTGAGCCTTCCCGGGCCATTCTCACATACCATTGCAATGGTTTTTCTGCCCAGGTGTCTTGGACACTGTTTTTTTTTTTTTTTAAAGGGGCACTAAAAAAAATTTGCATGTATTTCCTACCTAAAAAAAATGACAAGAAGGCAGTTTGGCAAATATACTGCTGAAAGCTGGCAATGTAGAACATACCGTTAGAATCATAGGGCTGAAGGGACCCTGGAGGTCTTCTAGTCCAACCCCCTGCTCAAGCAGGATGATTCAGGGCTTGCGGTTGCGTTTTATGGGTTTCGTAATCTGGCTTCTTTTTTTATTATTGTGGTCGTGAGCTGCCCAGGATTCTGTTTTATGGTATGTCCGTACAAATCCTTTAGTTAAATAAATAAGACCACACAACCCTTTGTGAAGGACTGCTTGTCCTAGCAACAGTTAATGCACCAGAGAAGACCAAGTTCAGGATTTGGGAATGACTTTGATCGGAACAACAGGTTACCCACAATAATCTAAAACTAGCCAGGTTCATCACGTTTGTAAAAGGGGATGCACGGTTTATTGCTGATGTGGGTGAAATCAACAAGAAAGACACCCAGGTTGACAGTGCCCGTTCACTGAGACCAGCACTCTTAAGAGCACTGCTTCTCAAACCTGGTTAAATCGTTGCAGGGGACTCCAGGAACTGCCCCCCCAAAAAAGAAAGGTGCATGCGGGGGGGGGGAGGGAGGCTTATCAGATAGAAATCCCTACGCAAATTTCAGCCATGCTGTTCTCGTCTGTATCACCCACCAAAGTAAAATAAAGAGTAAAAGTAAAATAAAAGAACCAAATCAAAATTGGTCACCTGAGAACAATCTAAGTCATAACAAACATGGGAGAAGCCGCTTTCAACAACCAACTTCACCCAATTTTTTATTTATTTATTAAAGTTTTATGCCACTCGTGCCTCCTTACAAGGTGATCTCGTTTGGCTTAGAAGTTATAAAAGAAGCAACAAAAAAATCGATTAAAATTAAAACAAGCAAAGAAGAAAATAGATTAAGGCTAAAACAACGGAGTTAAAATACTATGAAGAACCATTCTAAAGCAAAACCAAGAGGGCTGAGAGCCGGATGGGATGGAGGGTGGGGGGGTCTTCTTACCCCATCGGCCACCTTCAGTGGTGAGCAAACACCTCCCCCCCCCCCCCGGAGCCCCATTTTTCAGCCACTATCACTGGAACACAGAACTAATGATTCCCAGAAACCTTCAACAACATTTTCTTCAAATGGGAGGTTTTGCATCCAGGAATCCACAGATTTAAAAAAGTGACAGACGCAGGCACCTACTGCAGAGTCTGTCCCAATGTGGACCAGGTGTACTCAGGAGGAGCCAGGATTTTATTTCCTAAATAAAGGTGAAGGCTTCCCTGTCCAGTTGGGTCCGACTCTCAGGCGTGGTGGTCATATCTGTTTCTTGGCCGAGGGGGCCAATGTTTAAAGACAAATTTCCATGGCCAGCATGGCTATACGCCAAAGGCACATGGAACGCTGTTACCCTCCCACTGAAGTGGTACCTGTTGATCTGCTCGCATTTGCTTGCTTTCAAACAGCTAGGTGGGCAGGAGCTGAGGCGAGGACAGGAACTCACCCCATTGTGCAGTGCTTGGGCCTCCGTGGCACACAACGGGGTGAGCCAGCTGGCAAGCTGGCATCGTTAACCATTGAATAGTTACCTAGAAATTGGGTTGGGGTTGCAAATGGATGCGGATCTCCTTCTTGGAGACTGTAGTGCCTGGTTGGGAGGTCCTGTTTGCGTCCACAATTTAACACACATACGCCATAACAATCTCCCCTGTTCTCCCCTGTTCAGTCACCTTATTCCTTCATCCTGTCTCTCTCCAATTTTGTTCCTTCCCATTTCCTTTCCTCCCCTTCCCAATTCTCCTCTCTCTCTCTCTCTCTCGTTTCTGCTGAAAGGAAAGGAATATTTTGCTTGAGTTTCCCTGCAAGTGTTTTCCTGCCCATGACAGAACAAGTGGCAATCAGAGTTTCCTCTAAGTCCTATTAATAGACAGAGACAAGGAAACAGACCACCTGGATGGCATCTTCCCACAAAATGGATGCCCAGGTAACTTTATCAACCTAAAGGATGACACTGCCACACATCAGAAACCTCTCAAACACAACTGATTACTATAACCACAGGACAAACCAATTAAAGACCCCCTCCCATTTATTAAATAATAAATATAATAATAATTTTATTGTCATTGTACGTGTATACACAGTATACCCAATCAACGAAATTCACTTAACACCCAAAGACCGGGTCCAACACACAACAATCCCCCATAACAATACTGCAAATTAATGTCCTAGATTTTGTATTATGGAGATTAAGGAGCTCAAGAGGCAATGGAACTTTGGCTTTAGGGCTCGACACTGAAAGCCTCACTTTCCTATTCAAGATCTTCAAAAAACTTCAACCTCCGTAAGAACCAGAACATACAAATATAGGCAGACACCCCAAAATTTAACTAGAGGCGAGTCCCCAATTTACAACCATTCGTTTAATGGCTATATAAACCAAACACCTATGGGAGACAATATTGTCTATTGTCACCATAGACAATAACAATAAGAGTTGGAAGGGACCTTGGAGGTCTTCTAGTCCAACTCCTTGCTCGAAGAGGAGAACCTATACTACCATTTCAGATAAGTGGTTGTCCAAATGTCTTCTAAAAAGCCTCCAGTGTTGGAGCATCCACAACTTCTGGTGGCAAGCTGTTCCACTGGTTAATTGTCCTCCCTGTTAGGAAGTTTCTCCTAAATTCCAGGTTGCTTCTCTCCTTGATTAGTGTCCATCCGTTACTTCTTGTCCTGCCTTCTGGTGCTTTGGAAAATAGCTTGACCCTCTCTTCTTTGTGGCAGCTTCTCAGGTACTGGAATGCTGCTATCAAGTCACCCCTAACTCTTCTTTTCTCTAGATTGGCCAAAACTAATTCCTGCAGCCCAGTAGTGAAATCCATTTTTTTTACTACCGGTCCTGTGGGCGTAGCTTGGTGGGTGTGGCAGGGGAAGGATATTGCAAAACCCACATTCCCTCCCCACTCCTGGGGAAAGATACTGCAAAATCCCCATTCCCTCCCCACTCCTGGGGGAAGGATACTGCAAAATCTCCATTCCTACCCCACTCTGGGGGAAGGATACTGCAAAATCTCCATTCCTACCCCACTCGGGGGCCAGCCAGAGATGGCATTTGCCGGTTCTCCGAACTGCTCAAAATTTCCGCTACCGGTTCTCCAGAACCTGTCAGAACCTGCTGGATTTCACCCCTGCTGCAGCTGTTCATCTTATGTTTTAGCCTCCAGCCCCCTAATCATCTTTGCTGCTCTTCTCTGCACTCTTTTTAGAATCTCCACATCTTTTTTTTTCTTATTGTGGTGACCAAGTCTGGTCTCACCACTGCAAGAGGTGACCTTTTAAGCCAAGATGTACAAACCAAAGCGTACAAACATTTCAGCATCCAGAGATGCAGCTTTGGAAGGTGGGGACACGTATGAAAATCTCACCAGATTTGTGTTGGTGCAGAGGGACATGCTCCGTATTGCTATGAGCTCGGGGTGTCACATAGCGGATCGAAGTCTCTTCGAGATACTTATCTACAAGGTCCGGACATACTGAAGAGGGAGAAAGGAAAAAACAACGTGTGAAAGACAAACTGTCAACAATATAAAAATATAATTTGAAACACAGGTAGTCCTCCACTTACGACAATTGAGCCCAACATTTCTGTTGCTAAGTGAGACAGTCCTTAAGTGAGTTTTGCCCCATTTTACAACCTTCCTTGACAAAGTTGTTAAGTGAATCACTGCAATTGATAAAGTGGGTAAACTGGTTGTTAAGCGAGTCGGGCTTCCCCATTGGCTTTGCTTGTTAGAAGGTCACAAAAGCGTGAGGCCGGGACACTGCAACCGTCATAAATGTGAACCAGTTGCCGAGCATCTGAATGTAACTCAGGTGACCATGGAGGATGCTGCAACGGTTGTTAAGTGTGAAAAATGGTCATAAGTCACTTTTTTTCAGGGCCATTGCAACTTTGAATGGTCAGTAAATGAACCATTGTAAATCGAGGACTACCTGTATACCTAGAAGCTTTAATGTGGATGCCTTCTGGGAATGCCAATAGGAAGTTTCTACCCCAGAAGAGGAAGAGAAGTGAGTTTTAAATTACACTTCTTTTTTTTAAAAAAAAGATCAGATGCAGAATTTTTCATTATATTCAAGCTTTAAACTGCAAAAACAGAGTAAATAAATGTCTATTAAGCAGAACCAGGGCTGAGAAAACACTTCCAGCCATGCAGATAAACCTGGGATGAAGCCAGGGCCGGATTTTCCTATAGGCTAACTAGGCTTCAGCCTAGGGCCTCAAGATCAAGAGGGGCCTACACAGTGGTGGGATTCTGGGGGTTCTAGGGTGTTCGGCCGAACCCTTTGTTAAATTGCTGGCTCGCCCGCCCCTCGCCTCCCACCCGCGCGGCGCCAGCCTACCGTAGCAAGGGGTGGGCAATTGTGGCTCTTTTACAACCTGTGGCCTTCAACTCCCAGAATTCCTGAGACAGCCAAGCTGTCACAATTGCCCACCCCTTCCCTAGCCTGAGTTCCGCTGCCTGGGATCCACATGGGCTGCCACGTGGTTCCCCACCGGCTCCGGACGCAAGAGAGTAGGATGGAGAAAGCAGCTTCCACGCCTTCACTCACCCTCACTCTCTGCTCTGTTGGATTGCCGGCCGTTTGCTTACCCCGCCCACTCCCCATCTATTGCTGCCTCCGATGGCTAGAGGGAAAAAAAAACTTCAAATTCTTGCCGCGGGGCTTCAAAGGGCCGCCCTAGAGCCAGTGGTGCAGCTGAACCCTTTGTTAAATTGCTGGCTTGCCCCGCCCCTCCGCACCACTATTTATTGCCAATAAATAGTGGTGGGCGAGGGGCGGGGGAGCCAGCAATTTAACAAAGGGTTCGGTGCTTTTTTTTGTAATTTTATTGGCCCATGGAGCTTCAGCATAGGCTAATTGGCCTCCCGGCTCTTTGCTTCCTTGCAAAGAGTGCTGATTTTTTTTCCCCTAGCTATGCTGAGAAACGAAACTGAAACTGCTTTGCTGTTGCTGCAAGGTTGGAAAATTAGGCAGGCAGAATTCTTTTCTTTTTCCTCACCAAAAAAGGTAGGTGCAAACAATGGGAAATTTAGGGAAAAAGAGGAGAGTTCAGGATTTTAAAACACAAAAGAAAAAAAGCTCTATTTAACTAGGGAATTGTGATAATTGAGATACTATTAATTGTATATTGTGTTGAAAGCAGAAATGGTTAAGTTGTGGTTTGGAGGAATGTATGGGGGAAATTATTTGGTTTATTATTATTAGTAAATATAATTAATGGATTTGTAAGAAATTGGATTGCATGGAAATAATTGGAATATTCATGTTCATATTGATTAATATACAAAAAAGGTAGTTATATAACTAATTGATTTATATTAAAATGTTGAATTTATATTAAACAACTAATATTACATAATTAACCAATGTGAGGATGGATATAAAAATAGATGACAATGGGAAGGAGTATAATATAGAATAGAAGGGAAAAATTGAATTTGATTAAGATTAGAGATGAGGATGAAGGGTAATATTGGTTTTTTACAAAAATAGATGAGGAATAAATATGGCAAAAAGGAAATATAGAAATTGTAAATTTAATTGAAATGACTAAACACTGTTTAAATTTGTGAACCGGGCAAATACTCTGTTCAAAGAAAATACATTGTATGTTTGTATGTGTGTTTCTAATTATTGTTATTTATTCATAATTGTTCTCTTTTATTCTTTAAAGTTTAACAATTCATTCTTTAATATCTTTATATTTGTTTGGGGTTGGCTTTCTTCCCTTTCATCTTTTTTATTGTACAGCAATCTTTCTCCTCAAACCTACCACCTCTCTCTTTTCTTTCCTTCTTACTTTCTCTTCCTCCCCCTCTTCTTCTCCTCCCTACTTCCTCTTCCTTTCTCCTTCTCCTCCTCTCTTCCTCCCTCTCTTATCCTCCCTCCTACTTTAATTTCCCTTCCCTTCCTTCATCCCTCTCTATTGCTGTAGAAAAGATGACTTTTTTCAGCCCTCTGGTTAGTCCTTTTGTGCATATGGACTACTCAGAGGGCTGAAAAAGTTATTTTTGACTGGTCCTCGCACTTTTGACCAGTCCTCGAACTTACGACTGTCCTCACATTTTACGTTTTTGCCCTATCTTGTCACCATGGTGAAGAGAAGCAGTTGTGAAATGAGTGACATGGTTGTTAAGAAAGCTGCATAGGCATAAATGTGAGGATGGTCATAAGTGTGAGGACCGGTCAAAAGTGCGAGGCCCAGTCAGAAATGACTTTTTTCAGCCCTCTGAAAAAAGTCTATGCACATAGCCACGCCCACCCGGTCACATGACGAGCTACCCACGCCTAGTCACGTGACCAGCTAGCCACACCCACCCAGTCACATGATTGCCAAGCCACACCAACTAAGCCACGCCCACAGAACCTGTTGTTAAATAATTGAATCCCACCACTGGTGAAAGGGCCTCATAAGTGGAATAGCCGAGGGCCTCTTTTCATCTAAATCCGGCCCTGGATGAAGCAATAGATCAGGGGTCTCCAACTCTGCCCACTTTAAGACTTGTGGACTTCAACTCCCAGAGTCCCTCAGCCAGCTTTGTCTGAGACCCCTGCTTTGCTGGCTGAGGAACTCTGGGAGTTGAAGTCTACAAGTCTTAAAGTGGCCAAGGTTGGAGACCCCTGCAATAGACCAAACTTCACAGGATTGGGTTATTTTTTTTTTAAGTTTCTTAAAAGCAGTGGGGTGGAATTCAGCTGAAGGATCAGATGGGTGAGTAAGTTGTCTAACACAGTGAAATAACGCAAAAATGTCACTGCACAAGTTGCCCGACGCCTTTTGGGTGGCTACACGTGGCCATTTGTCTGCTTGGCAAACCTGCAAGAAATCTCCATGAATGGCTCAGTGCAACGGTTCCCAACCTGGGCCACTTTAACTTCTCTGGACTTCAACTCCCAGAATTCCCCAGCCAGCTTGGTCAATGCTGCACAGGTAGCCCTCGAGTTACAACTATTACTTTAGCAATGGTTGCAATTCAAAACTTATAACGGCACAGAAAAAAGTTACTTACAACTGGTCCTTGCATTGTGACCGTCGCAACGTCCTCATAGTTACATAATCAAAATACGGGGAGTTGGCAGCCAGCATGTATTTAGGATGGTTACAGAGTTCAAAGGTCATGTGATTGACCATCCCAGTCAGCTTCCACAAGCAAAGCCCAAGGGGAGAGGCAGATCCGCTTAATGACCACGAGTCACCTAACAGCTTCAGGCATTCACTTAACAACCATGCCGCAGGGGTCGGTTCTCTCGCCCCTTCTGTTCAACATTTATGTGAAGCCGCTGGATGAGATCATCCGTGGCTTTGGGGTGGAGTTCCATCAGTATGCTGACGATACTCAGCTGTACATCTCCACCCCAGGCCATCCCAACGATGCCCTTGAAGTGATGTCCCAGTGCCTGGAGGCCGTGCGGATCTGGATGGGGAGAAACAGGCTTCGACTCAAACCCTTCCAAGACCGAGTGGCTGTGGCTTCCGGCGTCCCGATATAGCCAGCTGGTGCCATCGCTGGCTATTGGGGGCGAGTCATTGGCCCCCATGGACAGGACTTGCAACTTGGGTGTCCTCCTGGATGCACGGCTGTCTTTAGAAGAGCATGTGACGGCCGTGGCCAGGGGGATTTTTATCAGGTTCGCCTGATTCGCCAGTTGCGTCCCTTTCTGGATCGGGACTCCTTACGCACAGTCACTCAGGCACTCGTCACTTCCCGCCTGGACTATTGTAATGCTCTCTACATGGAGCTCCCCTTGAGGAGCACCCGGAGGCTCCAACTGGTGCAGAATGTGGCCGCGCGGAGGATTATGGGAGCGAGGGGGCCATAATCTCCTGCGTGAGCTGCATTGGCTTCCAGTGGTCTTCCGAGTGCACTTCAAGGTGTTGGTTACCACCTTTAAAGCGCTCCATGGCATAGGACCTGGGTATTTGCAGGACCGCCTTCTGCCACCGATAGCCTCCCACCGACCAGTACGCTCCCACAGAGAGGGACTCCTCAGGGTGCGTCAGCCAGGCAATTTTGGCTGGCGACCCCAGGGGGAGGGCCTTCTCTGTGGCAGCTCCTGCCCTCTGGAACGATTTGCCCCTGGAGATACGAAGGATATCGGATCTCCGGGTCTTTCGCTGTGCCCTAAAAACTTTTCTTTTCCATCAAGCAGGGCTTGCGTGAACCCCCCCCCCTTTTTTTTAGCCTTTTAAATTGTCAATGGGTTTTAGTTTGAATGCTTAAATTTTGGCCAAAGTCATATAATTCTTTTAAAAATTTTAAATTTTGCATTGGTATGTGTTTTAGTTCTGGCTGTGCACCGCCCTGAGTCCACTAGGAAAAGGGCGGGATTCAAATTGAATAAAATAAATAAACAAATAAATAAACAAACAAATAAATAAATAAATAGTTCACCAAATCAGGTGAGCGACTCACTTAAGAGCCGTCCTGTTTCCGTTCCCAATTGTAGTCGTAAATGGAGGACTCCCTGCAGACATCCACAAACGAACAGAGCTGCTTTTAACACCAGGGGTGTCAAACTCGATTTCACTGAGGGCCGCATCAGCATTATGGTTGCCCTCAAAGGGCCAGTTGCATGTAACTGAGCCGTGGTGGCACAGTGGTTAGAATGCAGTACTGCAGGCTACTTCTGCTGACTGCCGGCTGCCAGCAGTCTGGCAGTTCGAATCTCACCAGGCTCCAGGTTGACTCAGCCTTCCATCCTTCCATCCAAGCTGGGTAAAATGAGGACCCGGGTTGTTGGGGGCAAGAGGCTGACTCTGAAAACTGTTTGGAGAGGGCTGGAAAGCACCTTCCTTCCTTCCTTCCATCATTCATCCATCCATCCTGTTTCCTTCCTTTTCATTTCCTTCCTTCCACCCTTCCTTCCTTTCCTTCCTTGTTCCTTCCTTCACAGTGATTAGAATGCTGGATTGCAAGCTGACTGCCGACTGCCAGAGGTTCAATTCTCAAGGCTGACTCAGCCTTCCATCCTTTCCGAGGTGGGTAAAATGAGGACTCAGATTGCTGGGGGCAAGAGGCTGACTCTGTAAACCGCTTAAAGAGGGCTGTAAAAGAACTGTGAAGCGGTGGGTAAGTCTAAGGGCTGTTGCTATTGCAAGAGAGGGGCTGCCCTTGAGGACCCTCTGGAAGCTTCAGTTGGTCTAAAGCGAAGTAGCAGAGTTAAAGACATCCCTTGTTACACCCATGTAATATCTCTGCTCTGTGAGAGGGCTGTAAAAGCACCGTGAAGCGGTAGATAAGTCTAAGGGCTATTGCTATTGCTATATTAGCTCAGGTTTCTTGATTAGTTTTGACCCAGGCCTGCCGTGTGCCAGACTCCCGTCTTGCGTTTCTTCCCATCTTTGGGGAAAAGTCTGCAAGGCGAGCGGCTACTTGAAAGAAAGTGCCGCAGAGACAAAAGAGGAGGAGGAGGGAAAGGCGGCGAGGCAGGGAGGGGCGAGAACTGAAGAAGCCCACGTCCTGAGTGCCTTCTGTCCTTTCACTTTCCTTCTCTCACCAGTCATTGGCTCTCAGGCGGAGGGCGCTTGAGCCATGCCTGCCCCCCCAAACCCTCCCCCCTGAGGTTACGGCTCCATGCATTAGAGTGGCTCCCAGTGCTCATCCTCTCCTGGCGCTGCTGCCACTGAGAAGTCCCCCAAAGAAGTGAGGAGGTAATTACTCAATCACTTCCTCCTACTTGACTGCTTGCGGACCAGATCTAAACACACCACGGGCCGGATCTGGCTCGCGGGGCTTGTGTTCGACATGTCTGGTCTACACGCACACCCACCCTTAGAAAGCCAAGCAGGAGGCGACCTACCAGCCTTCCTCCTCTTCAACGTGATGTAGGGCAACAGGTCGTGGCGGGTGATGATCCGCAACAGCTGCAGCACCTGGCGGAAGTTGGTTTCGTCGCAGCGGCCCTGACGCTCCAGCGCCAGGAGGAAGTCCCGCCCGCTGCGGATCATGCCCCGTTCATAGTCATCGATGACATCCACGAAGAGGAAAGACAGCACTCGGACGTCGCGGTGAGTCAGGTGGGTGCCCACGATGTCAAACATGCGGTGCAGGCTGTAGAGGCCGTGCTCCTGGTCCCCCTCCTCCTCCGGCCAGGCTTGCTGGTGGCTCCGTTTCAAGGTCGCCATCTTGAGCGACTGCGAGAACCGGCCTCGGCCGCCCAGCATCCAGGGGAACTGAGGGGATGGCGGGTTTCCTTCACCTGGGGCACTGGAAGAGAGGAAAGCAAGTTCGGATCAGAGCCACGGGCCCCTGGTAGCACCTTAGGCTGCAATTCGGGCTGAACAGGGGTAAGAAGAGCCAACTGGCTGCCCTGAATTGTTTTGCGTAATAGTGACTTAATCTGTGGGGTCCTTGGTGCCCTCTGAGCTTGGTAAGCCAAGCAGACGTTTCATGGCCCAACCAGGTAATATCATCAGAACTAGAAGGGAGGGGGGTTTGCAGAGAGGAGGAGGAGGACGACTGTGGGGTCCTTGGGGCTCTCTGAGCTTGGTGGCTTTCTTGCAGATGCTTCATGATCCAACTAGGTAATATCGTCAGAACTAGAAGGGAGGGGGGTTTGCAGAGAGAGAGACAGACAGACAAAGGGAGAGTGAGAGATAAGAGAGACAGAGAGACAGACAGAGTCAAACAGTGAGAGACAGAGAGACAGAGTGGGGAGGAGGGCTGTGGGGTCCTTGGTGCTCTCTAAGCCTGGTGGTTTTCTTGCAGATGTTTCATGACACAACTAGGTAGTGCTAGAAGCGCGTGGGGTTTGTGAGGAGGAGGAAGATGAGGTCCTTGGGGCTCTCTGAGCACGGTTGCTTCCTTGCAGACATCTGAACAGACCTGCAGAGACCCCTCCCCCCAAAAGGACAGCTTCGTTGCCAGAACCAACGGCAATCCAACCCACCAGCATTTCAACGGACAAGAACAACTGGAGCAAAGTGGGCCCGATACCTGATGCCATCACAAAGCCTTCACAGATGGCAGATGGCACTGTCAAAGGCTGCACTCAGGAGCCAATTGGCATGGAGTGCAACTGGCGGATTTCCCTCCACTTCCTCTGAAGCAAGGGACGCCCGTGAACTATTCAGAGTTCTCTCCAGAAGAGGATAATGTGTAGCTCGGGGTTGAAACTGTGGAGTCCTCGGTGGCTAACTGAGCTTGGTGGTTTTCTTCCAGATGTTCTGTGACCCAACTAGGGCAGATGTCTCCAACCTTGGCAACTTTTAAGACTTGTGGACTTCAACTCCCAAAATTCCTCAGGCAGCAAAGCAAAGCTGGCTGAGGAACTCTGGGAGTGAAGCCCACAAGTCTTAAAGTTGCCAAGGTTGGAGGCCCCTAAACCATCAGTGCTAGAAGGGAGCGGAGTTTGCAGAGAGGAGGAGGAGGACTGAGGGGTCCTTGGGGCTCTCTGAGCTTGGTGATTTTCTTGCAGACGTTTCATGACCCAACTAGGAAACATTATCAATGTTAGAAGGGAGGGGAGGTTGGCACTCTGTTTAAGCGCTAATGAAGTTGCCTAGTTTGGCAATGAAATGTGTGCGAGGAAACAAACGCTCAAGGATCCCAGAGTTGTTGTCCTCTGCCTCCTTCTCAAACCCCTCTCCCTTCTAGCACTGATGTTGTTATCTAATTGGGTCATGAAACGTCTGCATGAAAACCGCCCAGCTCAGGGAGCACCAAGGGCCCCACAATTACCTCCTGTCTTCTGTTCCCCGGCCTCGTTTGGGGACGGGGGTTCTAGGACTCTGGGGAAAGCAGGAAGAAAGACCCTCCAAGGCTCTAAGTTGGTAAGGAGAAGGCAGGAAAAGGCCAACCCTAGAAAGTTTTTTGAATGCAATTAAAATACGACTCTTTTATTACCATTTTTCTTGGATCAAGGCCCAACTGACATGCTGAAGAATATTTCTTGGACAGGAACGGCTCTTTTGGTGCCAAAGGCACTTAAGGAGTAAGTTTAAAAATACTTTTGGGGAGGGGGAGGGAGAAGCCAGGAACAGAAAAATAAAGATTTTTGTTCAAAAAAATCTGATTTTTTTTTTTTTAATTGAAAAAATACAAGCAAGAATTCCGGGCCAGGGACCTGCCTGCTTGGTTCAACCATTTCACACACATTTGAATCAGAATAGAGCTGGGAGGGACCTTGCTCAAGGAGGAGACCCCGGGAGCAGATTCCAACAGCACCCTGTGCTGATAAGTTCCCCACATATCAGCCGTATCAGCAAATGCTCCAGGTCGCGTTCCCACAGCCCGTGTGGAGGTCCTTCTCCAGTCTTCCAGACAAGTCACCACATATAAGAGCCATTTGCAAACTCTGGTTTCTCTTCAGATCGTGTAAATCTTTCCCCGTTAGTCACACAGTTGTTAAATGAATCTGCCTTGTCAGGAGGTCGCAAAAGGGGATCACATGACCCCAGGAGACTGCAACCATCATAAATATGAGCCAATCACCAAGAGGCCGAATTTTGATCATGTGACCACGGGAATGCTGCAACCGTCGTAACTGTGAAAAATGGTTCTAAGTCACTTTTTTCAGTGCCAAACAGTCACCGGTGAATACAAATAATCCGTCTGTTTCACAAACAAATATGTATTTCATTTTATGAAATGGTTTCATGTTATGGTTTCATTTTAAAAAATAAATGGCCTACACTTTAAAGTTTAAGGCCCTTCACTCCGAGCAAGAGGTAATTATGCCAATTATGCCAATCTGCCTGCAGGATTACTGAGATAATATATCTAAACTCAAAATAGTTCAGTCTTTTTCAAGCAGCCTTCCTACCCACTCTTAACAAGCGTTCCAGATTCACTTCTCTGGCAAGAAAGGACAATGGATCCGACATGTTCGCACACCAAAGAGGAGGCTCCCCTTTTGACACTGTGCATCTTCGCAATTCTTTGAAACGAGGTTTACGGTACGCCTGAGAAAAAGGTGGGTCGTGCAGGGCCATACTGAGAACTGGAGGAAGGACACTTACATGCCAAAAAGTCACAATATTTCTGTGTGGTGAGCTGGCCTTTGAAAACGCCTAGTTTAAAATTCCCTGCAATGAATCGCAGAGGTTTTTCCAATCAATGTCCCTAGTTCACGGAAGGGTCCAAAAACTCTCATTTCACCAAACAGGCCTGTCTTCAAATAAGCAGGGGCTCCCTGAGGTCAGTTGCTTTCTGGCAGATGTTTCCACTGGTTTGCCTTGCCAGTTGTATATAAACAGAGATGAGACCCCATTCCCTTTGAACACTGATGTTACCTAGTTGGGTCATGAAACGCCTGCAAGAAAACAACCGAGATCAGAGAACAGCAAGGACCTCACAATCTTCCTTTTCCTCCTCCACTCCACAAACCCTACTCCCTTCTAGCACTGATGATGTTACCTAGTTGGGTCATGAAATGTCTGCAAGAAAACAACCAAGCTCAGAGAGCATCAAGGACCCCACAGTCCTCCTCATTCTCCCATCACTCTCCTCCCTTCTTCTCCCTTCCTCCTTCCTCCTCCCCTTCTCCTTCACTCTGTAAACCCACTCCCTTCTAATACTGATGAAGTTCCCTAGTTGGATCATGAAATGTCCTCAAGAAAAGAAACAAGCTCAGGGAGCACCAAGTTCTCCTCTTCCTACTCTTACTCCTCCTCTCCACAACTCCCCCTCCCAGTGGTGGAATTCAAATTTTTTTACTACCGCTTCTGTGGGCGTGGCTTGGTAGGTGTGGCAGGAGAAGGATACTGCAAAATCCCCATTCCCACCCCACTCTGGGGCCAGCCAGTGGTGTTTGCCGGTTCTCCGAACTACTCAAAATTTCCGCTACCGGTTCTCCAGAACCTGTCAGAACCTGCTGAATAGCACCCCTGCCCACTCCTTTCCAGCATTGATGAAGCTACCTAACGTGTTTCCCCAAAAATAAGAGCCTGCCTTATATTTTTTTGAACCCTGAAATAAGCACTTGGCCTTATTGCCATGCGCTCAAAAGCCCGATTGGGCTTATTATCAGGGGATGTCTTATTTGGGGGGAAACAGGGTAGTTGGGTCATGAAACGTCTGCAAGAAAACAACCAAGCTCAGAGAGCACCGAGAATCCCCCGTTTAACCCAAATCATTTTCTTCAAATATGCACAAGAAGCTAAAAAGCAAGCCACAAACTGCATTCCACATGTTTCAGTTAAGGTGATCAAGGTGTCATTTTAAAAGTCTCTCTCAAAAGTTCTCAAAGAGATCTCCTGTTAGAGACTTAACTTCTCCACAGCCCTGAAAACTCAATTCGTCTCTAAGGCAGGTCAGTCAACAGGAAGGTAAAGGCAAGCATTGTGCTCTATTTATGTTAATGAATCACTGGTTATGTTATATCAGAGGTCTTCAAACTTGGCAGCTTTAAGACTTGGGGGCTTCGACTCCAGAATTCTCCAGCAAAGCATAGCTGGCTGGAGAATTCTGGGAATTGAAGTTCACAAGTCTTAAAGCTGCCAAGTTTGAAGACCTCTTGTGTTATATAGCAGCCCTTGAGATACTTTAGCTTATGAGAACTATGGCACACTAACCTTATGTCTTTGTTATTCTCTGAGATTCCTGCTTGGCCATGTCTTGCATAAGTGATAGGGCACAAAGGATCAGGTATGAACACACAAATTTTTAAATCATTTTTTAAAGAGAATAGTCCCTGCCCCGGCAAAGAGATTTCATATGTGGCTCTTAATAGTGTAAGATTTCTCCTAGAGTTATATTTCAGTCCATGCCTCACAGCCAAAACAGGTGTCCTCACTCTCTCTTTCATGCTGCAAAAAAGAAAAAATGGTATGAATAAGAGCCCCCAAATTGATCTGCAAACTTCAGTTGAGTTTCTTACCTCCTGGAGTTATAGGAGCTCCACCACAGGAGGTTTTTAAGAAGATATTGGACAGTTGGAATGGATCTCCTGCTTGAGCAGGAGACCTCCGAGGTCCCTTCCAACTCTTTTACTTTGGTATTCTATTCTTTCTTTCCTCTCCCCTGACCACAGGCAAGAGAGTCCCTCTCCCCAGGCTGAATGTAGGCTAAGTTTTTCAGTCACTCAAAAGTAGCTGAAGGGATAATCATAGGGTAAGAATGAAGATAATTGAGGCTACTGTATTTAGAATATGGTAGCGGTTGGCTTATGTATCAGTCTGTAAAGAATATTTCATAAAGGGTATTCAAAAACTTTTCTTGCTTACAGGAGCCTCCTTAATTGTGCAGCTTTTGGGGTCCTTGTTCTCTGAGCTTAGTTGTTTTCTTGCAGACATTTAATGACCCAAGTAGGGAACATCATCAGTGAAGAGAGGGGGGGTTTATCGGGAGGAGGGGGAGGAGGAAGAATTGTGGAGTCCTTGGTGCCGCAACTAACATTAACCAATTAAATAACACAATCAGTGCTAGAAGAGGGGAGGAGGAGGAGGACTGTGGGATCCTTGAACTTGCTTGCTTTGCTGCAGACATTTCATGACCCAACTAGGTAACATCATCAGTGCAAGAGGCTGTGTGTTGACAAAACCCTATTTCCCCTTTCCACAAGATGCCTCTCTAAATGCTGAACTCTTCTTTAAACCCGAAACAATTTCCAATTGATTTAAAACAGAAACCCACTGAAACAAACCTTTCCCAACCACCCAACCAAGAAAACTAGACCTGCAAACGATGGGCCCGGTTGCATTCATCAAGGCAGCTGATCTACCGTTTGATCGGCTAAGAGATCAATGATCTAAAACTGACATTTCCAACCTTGGCCACTTTTAAGACTTGTGGACTTCAATTCTCAGAATTCCCCAGCCAGCACAGAGGAAGTCCTCGATTTACAACCGTTCACTTAGTGGCCATTCAAAGTTACAACGGCCCTGAAAAAAGTGACTTATGACCGTTTTTCACACTTAATGACCACTGGAGCATCCCCCATGGTCACGTGATTAAAATTCAGACGCTCGACAACATGCTTATGACGGTTGCAGTGTCCTGGGGTCACGCGATCCCCTTTTGCGACCCTCTAACCAGCAAAGTCAAGGGGGAAGCTAGATTCACATTAACAACGTTTCTCACTTAACAACTGCAATGACGCATTTAACAACTGTGGCAAGGAAGATCACACAACAGGGTAAAACTCACTTTAACCCTTGTCTGGCTTAACAACGGAAATGTTGAGCTCAACCGTGGCTGTTAAGTCGAGGACTTATCTATCGCTTGAATGGGGGAATCCTGGGAATGAAGTCCCCAAGTTGGAGACCCCTGGCTTAAAATATTGTGATTATTTTCCTCCCTCTCACAGCTTTCCTCCCCTCCCCCAGCAACAAATCCCCTCTGAGAATCCCCAAATTCGGTCCTGCCACCCACCCAGTCCATTTCCTGGCTTTGGGGGTCCAGAGGACTGTCTGGCAAGGCAGACAACTGGTGGAGACCAGGCCTCTTGTGCCCACCGTGACCCAGCAGCCTCTCCCCCCCTCCCCCATTCAGTCTGGCCTGACCCACCTGGAGGGCTCAGAGGCAGGCCTGCGAAGCTCACGCCCCCCGCAATACGCCCCCTCCCCTCCAGCCCCAAAGACCCCCCGAGGTCTTCCTCCACCACCACCACCCCGCAGCCCCTCCCTGGGGAGAGCCGGAGAAGCACCGCCCCGCCCTGCAAGGAAGGGATAACTTCAATATGGGGGAGGGTGGACCTCCCCCTTCCCAATTAGGAATGTGCCAGACCCTTTCCAGCCCCCCTCCCCCCACCCGCAGCAGCTCAAGCCACGGGGGGGGGGTCCGGCCCTCTCCCCCGCACCCCCCGAGGAATGCCTGCCTGCCCCAGGGCCACGGGGCGGGGCCGGCCCCTCCCTTCCTCGGACGCCCCCTCCCCAATTAGGCCTCTGGCTCCTCCCATTTTCCGACCCCGCCCGCCTCGCCCCCTCTCACTTTCTCCTCAGGGCCGCCGGGGAAGCCATATTGGGCCCAGCCGCTCCGCGCCCCCCCGGTGACGACCCGACCACGGGCGCCGCCGCCGCCGCAGCAACAGGAACATCCGGGCAACCGGCGCCTCCTACCCAGAGAGAGAGAGAGAGAGAGAGAGAGAGAGAGAGAGAGAGAGACGACATCCGGGCCTCCCTGACCTACCGACCCCGTTCCAACCCGTGGGCGCGGCGAGGCGGAAAGCGCCATCTTTGTGACTGGAACCGGAGAGGCGCCGCCCGAGTGGACGCCATGTTGGGCGTCGCGGCTATTAAACGCTGCGGCGGCCATATTGAGGACGGGCGGGCGTCGCGGCTATTGAACGCCGCGGCGGCCATGTTCAGGAAGGGCGCTGGGCGCGGCTAATGGAGCTCGGAGCCGCGGCCATCTTGGGAAAGGGCAGGTGCTTGGCGTCGCGGCTATTGGAATGCCTTGGCGGGCATCTTGGGCGAGAAGTGGGCAAGAGGGGAGAGTCGCCCCCCACACACACGTGAGTGGGTGGGGAGAGGGAGGAAAGAAAGTGCCGCCTCGTTTTTGGGAGAGGTGCCTCTGGGCGTGGACAGAGTGTAAAATAAACATCCTGGACTACCAGCCCCAAAACAAGCAACCCCGCCCAAGCGCCACGTGCCACTCCTCCCCCTCGCCCCCGCAACTCTTCCGGGGTTCCTGGAATCTCCCGGGGTGGGCGGGGCCGATGACGTTATTTTCTGCAGGAGTGGGCGGGGCTTTAAGGGCAGGAGTGCCACTAATGGTAGCTGATTAATTTATTGGAATACTTACAAGGTGTTGCATGCAAAAACATTAAAATAACTCAAGAGTCTTGTGGTGTCTTCTAAATAAAATAACATTTTTGCAGTAATTTATATCACACTTTTCAGAGTAAATTTCCAAAGTCCTTACAAGACTAAAATACAGCCTATTGCATAAAAATAAACCTCTAGAACAGGGATGCCCAATGGCGACTTTAAAACTGGCTGGGAAATTCTAGGAGTTGAAGTCCGCAAGTCTTAAAATGGCCAAATTTGGACACTCCTGTTTAGACTCCTTCCCACTCGGCAGTGATCTTTGACCTCTTCATTTTCCTTCCTTCATCCATTTTAAGCACAGGCTTGACCTATTAACCACTGAAAGGAGGTGTTGGAAGAAACATCCTTCTAGGTTCCGCTCCAAGTGGGGAAAAAGACACTGGAGACATGGAGACTGCTTGGAAAGATGGTTTAATGGTGGACAGGATCACATGGCTTGAGTTCCTGAACAGAAAAGGGGGCAGATACAGTAAATCCTTGGGTTTTTATGCTCTCTGGCTCTGCATTTCTTGGGGCCCCGAAAGAGTATCCTGATTGGTTGTCAGACTTCCAGGGGGTGGGGGCCTTGCTGGCTGATGGTCACATGTGCTTCCCAGGTCACATGTGGTGAGTTTCTGCTGCTATTGTGTAGAGGGCTAATCCTATCTTTGGCAATTCCTACTATGGCTCTGCCTGAAGGAGGTAGATCTTTGTTATGTAGAATAGACTGGCCCAGGCCTTAATGGCCCATTGACAAAGGGTGGGGGGCAGGAAGGTGGGAGCTGCCCTGTCTGCAAAATATGCTTCTCATATTTCTCACCCAGGGAAATATAATATTCTGCCTTTTTCATATTTCCCAAAATATTTCACTCTTCCAGGAAAGGGATGGGTGCTAACTTCCTACAGAGGGAAAAACCCTGTAACAAGATTAATGAAGATCATCTGTGTCTTTAGTTGGACATATTTAAAGGAAAGAGAATTAGAGTGTGGAATTTATACTTCTGTCCAGTGAAAATTCACCTTCAAAATAAATTTCAGTGGCCGAGTTCAACAGCCTTCTGAAAAGCACCAACTAATCAACCGCATTTTTATTCTGGTGTCCTGTACGCATTCATGTTATCTAGTTGGGTAATGAAATATCTGCAAGGAAACCATCAAGCTCTGAGAGAATCAAGGACCCCACAGTCCTCCTCCTCTCCCTTTGTAAAGCCCACTTCCTTCTAACACTAGTAATGTTCCCACAGCTCAACCCTGAGCTGCCAATATTCTCATCTGTTGGTGTTCAATTAACCATATACTCTCACATTCTAATTAGTTCATGCTTGCTCCCAATGAAATGTGAACATAAATCAAACAAAGATTGCATTCACATACCAGCTTTACCTGTGTCTGGTACAAGGTTAGCAGATGCAGTGTCAGAAAATGCTAAACTTTCATTAATCTCAGAACTGAGATTTTTTTTTTTGCAGATTATCATATTACAGCAACACAGCCCATTTAAATAAAATAAATAAATAAATAAACTTTATTGTCATTTGCCTCTACCTCAATGTTTTTCTAACTTTAGCAACTTTTAGATGTATGGATTTCAACCCCCAAGAATCTCCCAGCCACCATGCTTGGAACTGAAGTCCATTTTAAAGTGGGCAAGTTTTAAAAAACAGTGCCGAGTCTATGATTCAGAGTAGAAAATAGAACAATAGAGTTGGAATTCAATGTATTCAATTCAGAAGAAGGCAGAGAAAAGAAGAGAAGAGAGAATAAATATGGAATGGAATGGAATGGAATGGAATAAGAATA